CAAAGTGTGAGTATTCAAAGGGCTCAAGCGAAAACCTAAAATAGATTAGGATAAGCCCAGAAATGCATAAAATAGAATGGAAAACAACTAACAGGCACATTGAAGCAATCGTTAGTAATAGCAAGAATATTACTACTGTTCCTATTCCAATATTTAAAGGGATCCTGGTAATCAGTGTCTGAAAGTAATACCGATTCAAAAAGGCTTCTGGGTAAGTTAAAACCCTTATTCCATTGCTGAGGGAGATCCGCCTCCTTTGACATCATCGAATGGAGTGTGCTAATGCGCATGCGCTGTGAGTGACGCAAGTTCATAAGGCCCTCCCCACAGGAAAGCATTGCTGCAATGCTTTACTATGGGGATTTTGCCAACACTGGATGTCCACATGCAGAGCGACCAAAAGTCGGCTAACTATTAAAGTTCACTAAAAGTAATCTAACAAGGGATGGTTTTTGTCATATTAAATTCGGTCAAACAGAAAAAAACATAAATCCTGTGTGTGGCTGAAAAAATGATTGTTAGGGAGCAAACAAAGCAATAGAATGAAAAAACAAAAAAAAATGCATATTTAGCAAATTGCTCTACATTTGTTGAAATTAGATGTGACGTGACACTTTGATAAATATCTCTCGTTGTTTTTGATTCTCCTGTTCCAGTCCAATGTGTATATTGGTTGTGCTGGACTGAATTTAAATGGCACACATTGCTAAATATTTAACATATATTTAAAAGAAAAGATGATTATTAATGTTTTATTATATGGTGTAGTTCCCTTTAGATTATATCCCCTTCAAGGATTGTTTGATGTAAATCCACTTTATGCACGTGTTATAATTAAAGTTGATTTGATTACAATATTACTATCTGTTGAAGTACTAAAAGCATTCAGGTTAGCTTTATGTATGGTAACAAATAGTGGGAATATTATGGTGGAGATAATATATGCATTTACATGCAAACTAAATAATAATATGACCACTATTAAAAAAGGAAGAAAACAAATTAAAAAAAAAAAAAAATTTATCTGTGTGCCCAGTCACAATTTATATAATGCGAATACAGGGAGATTGCTGCCTGATCATCACTTTGTAAAAAAATAAAAAATGTTAAATGTGGTCTACTGCAAATTATGTTGTCACTGCTGTACAATACTGACACCTAAGGACATGTTTAATGTTAGAAAAGTGAGTATAATCTTACTATTTCCACTTCTAGCATATGAAAGCCATATATCTTATTTTAATATAGTAGTAGTTTGCAATGCAAGCAGTAGCACAAGCTCTGTTATTGGGGTAATCCTAGAAGTAACATACTAATAAATCACTTTTGTCTGATTTGATGCATGCACCTGTTACAGATGTGAAAGCATTTAAGACAGAAGTATTGATATTTGTACAAACGTATCCATCATTGTTGGATAGAAGTGATAATATTTGTATGGGATCTGAGGCTTAAAGGGTTACACCAAGCAAAATGATTCAATAAAACCGGTTTTGGCTAGGGTAACCCTAACAAAATAAATAAAGAACATTTATTTTGGTATATTTAACCCCTTAGTGACCAGGCCGTATTTCAAAATTCTTGCCGTTGGGACTAGGGCTCTTTTTACATTTCTGTGGTGTTTGTGTTTAGCTGTAATTTTTCTCTTACTCATTTACTGTACCCACACATATTATATACCGTTTCTCTCGCCATTAAATGGTCTTTCTACAGATACCATTTTCATTATATCATGTAATTTACTATAAAAATATTATAAAATATAATGAAAAAATTGAAAAATAACCCCACACTTTTTCAAACTTTGACCCTCAAAATCTGTTACGCATCTACAACTGCCAAAAACACACCCATGCTAAATAGTTTCTAAATTTTGTCCTGGGTTTAGAAATTCCCAATGTTAGCATGTTCTTAGCTTTTTTTGGAACGTTATAGGGCTATATGCACAAGTAGCACTTTGCTATTTCCAAACCAATTTTTTTCAAAATTAACATTGTACATGGTTACATTGTAACACTGATATCTGTCAGGAATCCCAGAATAACCCTTCACATGTATATATTTTTTAAAAGAAGACAACCTAAGGTATTAAACCTGGGGTATTTTGAATCTTTTCATGCAGCCATTTTACCACCAATCTATGCAAAATTAAAAAAAAATAATAATAATTGGTGGGGTTTTTTTGAGACACATAGCAATTTAAGAATATATGTACTGAGAACTTTAAGGGTTACTGCCAAAGAACACCCCAATATCTGTTCAAAATCATTTCCCGAGTACAGGGATACCACCCATGTATAGGTGTGTCGGGTTCTCTGGGGGCTAGAAGACCTTATTTGGAAGGTGCGCATTCCAGTTCTTTAACTTCAAATTTTCACAGTAAGTCATCATGCACCCATGTCCTATTTGGGACATTTTTGAAGCCGCACAATATAATTTACCCCTAGGGTATTTCAAATAGTGGTATTTTAACACTTTCCATGCACTAATTCTACCACCAGTCTCTGTCAAACGTTTGGACAGTCTTTTTTGTGTGTGTTATTTTTCTCTCACATTGTACTTTAGGCATGGATTTTTAGTTCCGTTTATGTGTTACTGACAAAGAAACCCCCAATATGTGTTCAGCAACATCTCCTGAGTACAACAGTGCCCCCAATGTACAGGTTTATGGGCTTTTGCAAACTTACAGGGGTCAAATGTAGGGCTTTCCCCTTTTCCATGTTCGCACATTGAAATTTGCCAGATTGGTTTGCTGGGCCTATGTTGCCTTTGAGACCATATAGCAGCCCAGGAATTAAAATTAACCCCATCATGGCATACCATTTGTAAAAGTAGACAACCCAGGGTATTCAAAATGGGGTATGTCCAGTCTTTTGTAGTAGCCACTTAGTCACAAATGCTGGCCAAAGTTAGCATTTTTCTTTGTTTTTTTGCATTTTTTTACATAAAAACTGCACTTTTACTGGTGATTTCATAGTCAGAAAACGTTTTACTAATTTAGAACACTCATATTTGTGTTAAAAACATGGCCCGCATACGCCCCTTTCTTACACTAAATGCTACTAAGGAGCTTGTCCATAATCTAGTAATTAACCACATGGATTATTGTAACCCTCTCCTAATTGGTCTTCCCAAAAACCATATTGCCCCGCTTCAGTCTGTAATGAATGCTGCCGCCAGACTGATTTTCCTCTCTATTCGGTCCTCTCACACCTCACCCCTCTGTCAGTCCTTACATTGGCTTCCTGTATCCTATATGAGTCAGTTCAAAGTGCTAACCCATACTTATAAAGGACAAGATAAACAGAGAGAGGTTGCGCCAGATAGCAAACTAAGTAAAAAGATACTGGAAAAAAAAAACAATATCAAAAATATATTTTAAAAAAGAATCCAATAACAAGGGTGTTGGTAACAAACCGCAATCAAATAGTAGAAAGAAAAAGTCCAAATGCACAACTTTCCAGGAAGATAACCAGCAGTCTGTAGGGAAGAGTGTGTCCTAAGAAAAGCCGGATAGGGACAACTTGTGGGAATCCGTATGTGGAAACAGAGAGAGGATAATAGTGCAATACGTCCTATAAAAATCAGTATTACATACAGGGTCTAATATGGTCCTACTCACATTTAGTAGAGCTTAAAACAAGCTCTAGTATGAATGGCATACAGCGGTACAATCCCCACTTATAGGATACATGAAGAGGTGTGAATATCTCCGCAGTATGTAGACCATAAAAATTAATAAAGGTATTTTGGCTACTTTTAAACATTTGATTGTGCCATCTTACTTTTTATCATTTTTTAAACTTTTTATTACTACTGCCTGGTATCCAGATTTTATCATTCCTATTATTATTATTATTATGATATTTATAGAGCGCCGTCAAATTCCGCAGCGCTTTACAATGGGTGGACGAACAGACATGTAGTTGTAACCAGACAAGTTGGACACACAGCAACAGAGGGGTTGAGGGCCTTGCTCAATGAGCTTACATGCTAGAGGGAGTGGGGTAAAATGACACAAAAAGGTAAGGATAGTATTAGACTAGTGACAGTTGCAGAAGAGGAATCAGTCGGGAGCTATGAACAGCTTAATTGATACGCTTTTATGAGTGGGTTTTTAACGATTTTTTGAAGGAGTGGAGAATCTTTATTGAGTATTACTCCAAAGAAATCCAAGGTGGGGATTATACCACTCACGCTTGATTCATTGAGCTGTCTGCCTGCTCAATTAAATGTGAGTAAATATCTTTATAAATATACTCCTATTATCCTTTTACACAGTGAGCACTATTTGTTGTCCTATTAACCTTTTATGGGCTACATACTGCTGAGATATTCACACCTCTTCATGTATCCTATAAGTGGGGATTGTAACTCTGCCCGTGACCTTCTCCTGTCCGCTGTTCACACTCGTACGGCCAACTCATGCAGGACTTCTCGCTGGCAGCTCCCTTCCTATGGAATAGCCTGCCTACTGCCATCAGACTCTCCCTTGGTCTTCAATCGTTTAAGAAGTGCCTTGAAATCCATCTCTTTAGGAAAGCTTATGGCCTGCCAGAGTAATCTCTACTTCACATACCTGTCTCTTCCTCTCTCCTAAAGGGCAGCACTCTACTCTCTCCTCCTGCTCTGCTTCATTCCCACCTTATTTGATTGCTATTTCCTGTCCTAATGTGTTTTACACCCCACCTACCATAGACTGTAAGCTCGTTTGAACAGGGCCCTCTTCAACCTATCGTTTCTGTAAGTTTTCTTGTAATAATCCTATTTATAGTTAAATCCCCCCTCTCATAATATTGTAAAGCGCTACGGAATCTGTTGGGGCTATATAAATGGCAAAAAAAATAAATAATAATATGTCAATATTTATTCATGAAAAAACAAAATCTTAACTGCATTTGGTCAAATAAATAAATGTATATAAATGGACGAAAAAATGTAAATGAACACAAGTATTTCCATTTGACCAATGGTCTATTAGGGATTTTAAAAAATGTATACTTTTACAGGGCTTTTAGGTAATGATTATAGGCACACCTTGATGCCAACCTAGGTGGAGAGGCAGGAATATAATTTATTTTGAGTTTTATTGTGCTGGAGAGATGGCTTACCTCTTAAATCTTTATGTTGTGAGGTGCTGATCACTACAAGTGTCGAGAGTGCTCAGGATTCTTCTGTAATTGCACTTGGTGGTGAGGATCACTATAGCATTCATTAAGTTGGTGACCACTGGCTCTTTGAGGGGGCAGAACTGGTGACAAGTGCGTAATACTGTATTTAGGGGGACGGAATATACAATTAGGTTAGTTGAATGCAGTTTGTTGTTGCTAAGATTGCAACCAGCAATATATTATTAGTGTCCTCAATTATATGGTTACTTGAGAGTAAATGTTTTAACCAAGCTTCCCCTTACATCCCAGGGACTTCTCATGTCAAGTTTTAATAGCATGCCACGTTTAATAAGCATTACTAAAGAAAAGTACATTTTACTATAAAATATCCAGTGTAGACTTCCTGGGGAAAAATGTGATAATTCCATCATATTGTTTCAACTTTATTTGGCACAGTCTATCGTTACATTCAGTTTATTTTGTGAATATTTTAGAAATTCTTCAAGCTCTGGAAGTACACTTCATAATGACAATTCATTCTGCAGTAGGCTGGCACATTGTTAAAGATCCGCCTTCTGGCTTCCCGCTGTATATTTCGGGGCCAACTCTTTTATAAGCTCCACAAAGTCTGTTTTTTCAATGCAGGCTCGACATGTCTCACCCCATCCATCTAGTATCTTCCTAAGTTCTGCCACTTTCATCTTAGCCAGGTCCATTGACTCCAGGTCCAATTGTTTCTCTGTATAAACAAGATAAATGTAAAATTAAAGTGCTTCATCAACGTCGTTTGAGTTTATTTATTTCTTATATTTGCATGGCATCATTATCCCAGGTGGCAAAAAAATACTAAAATGAGAGAATCAGTTGGAGTCAGGAGAGAAGGTGACAGTTAGTGACCTGCCACTGTGAATATGACAAATTTGATGTTTATGTATGCTACAGCATTGCTATAGCAAAATCTTAACAGCATTTACCTTTAACCATATATGTGCATATCTACCAAGGCTATCAATGGACATAGGCGTACGCACGGGGTGTGCCGGGTGTGCCTGGGCACACCCTAATCCCCGCGGCACGCCTATGTATATTGAGACCGGCAGGGGAGATCTCAGGATCTCCCCTGTTGGCTCATGCAAAGCCGGCGCTATCCGAGCGCCGGCTCTGCTTTCAGCCTCCCTCCCCACCGACCCACATGCAGGGAGGGAGGCAGGAGAGGACCGGCGGAGCTCTTGCCAGTAGCTCCGCCGGGTTCCTCTCGCGAGATATGAGTATTGCCACGGCAACGCTTAAATCACGCGAGAGTGAACTCTAGCCCCACAGGTCTTTCAGCCTTTTGGTAGATAACTCCCTAATACCGTAGGAATTAGGGAGTTATCTACTAAGGGGCTGCAAGAGAAGTGCCGAAGTCCTGAAATTCCAAAATGCCGAAAATTTTCCCCATGCACATACCTAGTGATCTGTACTCGTAGCCATTCTCTTTAATATTTTTATTGGTGATATTGCAGAAATGATACTAAAATTTGTGGCAACTGACATTTAATGTGGGTAAGTGTAAGATAATGCATAATGGGTGTAAAAACCCAAGGGAAGAGTATAGAATATTTGATACCCTACTAACCTCAACATCTGAGGAAAGGGATTTAGGAGTAATGGCCTAAAGGCAGGCAGACAATGTAATAGAGCAGCAGGAAATGCTAGCATAAATCAACACAGTAAAAAAAAAAAAAAGAGGAGAATATAGTTAAAAGAAGAAAAACTAGCAACAACTAGCAACAAGAGGACATAGTCTTAAATTAGAGTGGCAATGGTTTCTAAATAATATCAGGAAGTATTACTTTACAGAGAGGGTAGTGGATGCATGGAATAGCCTTCGAGCTGAAGTGGTAGAGGTAAACACAGTAAAGGAGCTTAAGCATGAGTGGGATAGGCATAAGGCTATCCTAGACTAAGATAAGGCCAGGGACTATTTAAAAGTATTTCGAAAATTGGGCAGACTAGATAGGCCAAATGGTTCTTATCTGCTGTCTCATTCTATGTTTCTATGTTTATTGTGACAAAAGCAACTTCGCCACTGGTTTTTGGAGGGGCCTGTTTCCCAGCCTCCTACTCTGGGACTATGGGCCCTGTGATAACCCATGTCCAAAAGTACTGTTTCTGCCCCTTGAACTTTTAACTGGAACAGATTAAAACATGTGGCGGCGCCATCTTAAATTGTCCAGCAGTGTTTTGTCGTCGAGTGTATGGAACTGTTTTGGGCATGGGACCATGTGCATGGTGGGGCAAAAATAAGACTTCCAGGAAATTCCTGAACCCCTGAACCGATCTGGGGGATTTTTGGATATGTTGTTTACCCAGATCGGGACTGTCAGGGGATGTGATATGTTGTATTTTGGGGTACTTTTTGGGGTTTGTAAAAAAAATTTTTTTCTGCTTAGAGTTAATTGAGTTAGTCCATTGTTTTCATTAATTATATCACAGGCAGAGGGGAGGGATTGTGTACACTGTATGGGAATGACTGAATGGAAAACTGTGTTTTATTGTCTTACCACTGGGTGGTAACCTTGTGGGGAAAACTATATAAATTGTAAGTGCTGGCTTGCATTAACCCCTTAAGGACCAAACTTCTGGAATAAAAGGGAACCGTGACATGTCACAAGTCATGTGTCCTTAAGGGGTTAAGCAGACCTGCTTACCCCTTCATGAAGTCTTGGGTCATGTTTGGGAGATTGGAAAGCTACACTCTGGGGATTGCTATAATCACTATACTCCCCAGGATATAATCACTTGGTCTTGTAAGAGCTTGTTCCTGCTACGCTCTCCAGATGAGGAGAGGTCTGCCCACTAGAAGCTGGACCTTGGTCTTGGGTCCAGGGTGGGTGAAGGACGGTGAGACCCCGGCACAGCTGCATCGCTGGAAGTGGGGTCTGCAGTACTTATGGTGTCTGGTGGAGTGCTTGGAGCCCTCGGAAAGCACTAGGAGCATCGACTGGCGGAGGTACTCGGTTGGAGTGCCGGCGGTCCGTCACATTTATATATAGGGGCTTAGAGTGTGTGTGTGTGTGTGTAGCATATTTGTGGGTAAGTGCATGGGGTGAAGTGTGGATGTAGGGGGCTTAGAGTGTTTGTAGTGTGTTTGTATGTAAGTGCATGGGGTGTAGTGTGTATATAAGGCATATGATAAGGGCTTAAATAATTAGTCTACCAATGTAATTATTATTTTTTTAAATACACACATTTACTACCCCCTCCCTCTTATTACATTGCAGGGGGACAAGGAGCACACTGATTCCTGGTTCCAATGGTTCCAATGGGCTAGTTATGTGGTACAGACCATGTCTCTCCCTCTTGCAAGTGTCAATTTTTCAGAGCATCACCGCAGGTTACCATTGTAATGCTCTGACAAAATTAGAGCTTCTGGCAAATTTTCCCCGGTAGCTTTCACTCTGGTCCCTGCTGCATTTGATCCTTTGATCTTCCCTGCCAGCCTCGGCCCACAGCCATTGCGACCTACTGGCATTTTCCCGATGCCCAGTCTGGACCTAACTATGAATATGTTGTCAAAACTGTGAACACATCTACAGACACAAAAGGGAAAGATAGCACCAGAAAGAAGCAAAAGTTTAAACTTTTGAAACCATATCTTACATCAAACTCGTGTTCAAATGTGTATCCTTTTTAAGCTCATATTTCTATAATTGGTGCCTGTTTTCTTTCATAACTCTCTCACAACTTAATATTTGCCATAACTTTGATGGGGGCTTTACGTATGCAGATGGATTTGAGAAAACAGGAACGTAAATGGCTATTCACTAACCTGGGATTTGTTGGGAATAAAACAAGGTATGGCAATATATAGGCCAAATTAGACTATGTGGAATACAATTGTAGAATGTTTTCAAATGTGTTATTTTGATGTAAAATTAGAAAGTCCTTCATAAATGCCTGACAGTTCACGGTTTACAGACTAACCCCTGTGCGCAGCTCTGTAAGTTTCTCATCATAATCCCTGGGCATCAACTTGCAAGTACACATCATTTTCAGCAGGTTTTGCTTAATAAAATCTGAGCTGATAATTGTTTGCAAGCAGAACCTGGGGACATCTCATGGATGGACATATCCTGGCTAAGCAAGCCGGCCCCCAACGCCATAGCCCCCCAGGCTGGCATGCGCTGATAATTGAGGCAGGCGCTGAGGGAGCACTCTCCCCTCCTCAGTTCCCTTGTCCCTTGAATAACTCCGGCCCTGGCATCCCTGAGAGGCACACGAGGGAACTGAGCAGGAAGATCAGTGCTCCATCGCCGCCCACCTCCACTGTGCCTGCCCGCCTATCTGCAGCCAGGCCCACTGGACCCCAGGGAAGAATCCACTCCAGCACTCCCAAAGGTAGGGTGGCTGCGTGGATTAAACTTTAAAAATAAAAAATTGTGTGTGTGTGTCTGTTACTGAGAGTGTATATGTTTTTGTCAGTGAGTGTGTAGTTGTGTTTGTCAGTGAGAGTGTAGGTTTTTTTGTCAGTGAGCGTGTATATGTGTTTGTCACTGAGAGTGTGTGTCTGTCAGTGAATGTGTATGTTTGTCAGTGTGTGTCTGTCAGTGAATGTGTTTCTCTGACACTGAGTGTATATATGTCTGTCAGTGAGTGTATATGTGTGTTTGTCAGTGTGTATCTGTCAGTTAGTATATGTGTGTCTCAGTGTGTGTGTCTGACACTGAGTGAATGTGAATCTGTCAGTGAGTGTGTATACATTTCTGTCAGTGTGTGTCTGTCAGTGAGTGTGTATGCATTTCTGTCAGTGTCTGTCAGTGAGTGTGAATGCGTGTCTGTCGGTGTGTATCTGTGTCTGTTGGTGAATGTGTGTTTCGGTGAATATAAGTGTGTGTGTGTGTGTGTGTGTGTGTGTAGCAGTGAATAAGTGAGTGTGTATGTCTGTGAATGTGTGTGTTGGTTATACAGTGTGTGTGACAATGACTGTATTTGTCAGTGAATTTATGTCAGTGCATGCATCAGTGAGGGCGTTTGTCTCTCAGACAGAGAAATTTGGAAAGGGGGGGGGTGTGCCCGATCTTTGTCATGCCCAGGGCAGCACAAAACTAGAATACACCACTGATCCCAGGTGTGTGTAGGATGTGAAACCGCAGGGTTGGCTTAGATTGGACAGTACTAAGAGGAAGAAGTAGTAACTATAAAACATTTTTGTGCACAGAATATTTCTTTGCTTTTTTTTTAGTTTGAGTGGGCTTCCTGAACCCCCCAAAGTTGTTTTGAATATTACTAGCAACATACCATATTTCAGCTCACAGATCTGAATGTCTGTTTTCCGGAGTCTTTCACAGATTTTGTCAACTGGTATGTGAGCACTCATAGGCCGGGTAACTTCATTTAGGATCTTTGTAGCCGCATCAGTGGTGGCTCCTAAATAATAACACTTAGAAACAGTGACAATTAATAAATAATTCACAATACAATATTTCTATATTCAACACAAAATATCCTACTGCTGTGCAAAGGCACCACCTACTCACTTGATATCTATGGACTTATGGTGGAAAGTAAATCAGCTCTAAATAAGTCATCAATGATAAGTATTAAATGATCGACTTAGGTTATTGAGTTATTGGTATGGGATCTAGAAAGACCAAAATAATAACAATAAAGAGAGAGACGCCCATACTGCAAGTTGTGTAATGTATTTTTTTTAAACACTTTTTAAAGAAATACAAAAATATCTTCCTAAGATTAGAGTATTATACTACCCATTTAGTTTTATGCCTCCTCCCAGAAGTAATAAAATATGCAGATTTGCTTAAGTTATATCCCGTGGCTACAGCTCTGTCTCTGGCTGAGATCATCATTACTGATGATCTCATCCAATATAACACCGCTCCACAGGGAAGCATTGTCGGGATACTGTGTATGTGTGGCAATGCATCTCCTTATATAGATGCATTGACTCAAAGATTCCCCCGGGAGGCCCCTCTAGTGTCTGTATGAATGACAGCCACTAGTGGTGGCCTCAGGAAGCAATGTAAATTTTGCATTATATTTCCCTTGATTAGACTGCAGGGACAGGATCCTTGCACCGGAACCACTGCATTAAGCTGTAGTGGTACTGATGCCGAGAGTGTCCCATTCAGTAATGTTTTATTATTGTATGCCAATTTTGCCCATTTTGACCTTGCAGGTTCTCCACGACAGCACTTTACTTTTCTTTTTTGTTGTTGATTGAGAAGGAAACAGAGCCATTTGGTTTTATTCTATTGCTTATCCATGATTGATCTGACGTGTGTTCTAATAATATTTCTCAATTATATGATTATTTTCTCAACGTTACTTACCCTAAATTGGATTTTTATATTTTATAGTAGGGATAGTTTTACTGTTCACATGGGTCAAATTAGGAATTTCTGACAAACCCACGTACATATCTCAGGCAACACTACCACCTCTTGTTTGGTTGTTGATGGTGTTTTCAATATAGTGCCAACTAGTGAGCTAATGAATTTGTAATATGATTTTACCACTTAAGAACCAAGGCTCTACTCAGATGTGACACATTTGTTACCAAAGCCTTTTTGGCACTTTTGCCATGCTTACATTCTACCACAATATCTACCTTTCTGCTTAAGTGTACCCATGCATGCTAAATATAATTTGTTATATGAGAAAAGGGGCTTTCTTTTGATACCCTTTATGTATACATAACAAAACATTAAATATTGAAAATGTTTAAAAAATTAAAATTGTTTTACATTTAATATCTTCTACAAAACAAGTGCAACTAAAGAAAACTAAACATAATAAAATCACTAATTAGTCCTGACTGTTAAAATGTGCAATACAAAAAGATAAAAAGATAGTTTGTGTAAGCTCTTCAAGAAATAAAGTATAATAATAATGAAATTTGGGTGTAAGCCAATTATGTGTGGTCCCACTAATGTAAATACCCCATATTTGCATTCTGAATACTCCATTACAATGATACCCAACATGTATCCATTCCTCCCAATATTTCAAATGGACAAAGAAGGACACTTTAAAGGGACACTAAAGTCACCAGGACAACCACAGCTTATGGAATTTGTTCTGGTGAATATAATAAGTCCCTTCAGGCTTTTTGCAGTAAACATTGTCTGTTCAGAAAAAAGGCAGTGTTTAGATTACAGCCTAGGGATACCTCCACTGGCCACTCATATGGCTACTAGAGGTGCTTCCTGGGACAGTGCTGCACCACTTACATGGAGATACTGAACATTCCTCATAGAGCTGCATTGATTCAATGCATCTCTATAAGCAGTGGCGTCTCGAGGATTCATATTTAGGTGGGGGCACATGAGAGGCCAGGGACAAAAGTAGGGGGGCAGTTATAAAATGTGTGTATATATATATATATATATATATATATATATATATATATAAATATCTTGTGATACCTTTTTTATTGGTCTAATACGGCTACAATCTCTACTTGAACACTATATATACACACATACACACACACACACACACACTGCTCAAAAAAATAAAGGGAACACTTAAACAACACAATGTAACTCCAAGTCAATCACACTTCTGTGAAACCAAACTGTCCACTTAGGAAGTGGTCAATTTCACATGCTGTTGTGCAACTGGGATAGACAACAGGTGGAAATTATAGGCAATTAGCAAGCCACCCCCAATAAAGGAATGGTTCTGCAGGTGGTGACCACAGACCACTTCTCAGTTCTTATGCTTCCCGGCTGATGTTTTGGTCACTTTTGAATGCTGGCTGTGCTTTCACTCTAGTGGTAGCATGAGACGGAGTCTACATCCCACAAAAGTGGCTCAGGTAGTGCAGCTCATCCAGGATGGCAATCAATGCGAGCTGTGGCAAAAAGTGAGCTGTGGCAACAACCCAGCAACAGGACCGCTACCTCCGCCTTTGTGCAAGGAGGAACAGGAGGAGCACTGCCAGAGCCCTGCAAAATGACCTCCAACAGGCCACAAATCTGCATGTGTCTGCTCAAACGGTCAGAAACAGACTCCATGAGGGTGGTATGTGGGCCCGACATCCACAGGTGGGGGTTGTGCTTACAGCCCAACTCCGTGCAGGACGTTTGGCATTTGCCAGAGAACACCAAGATTGGCAAATTCGCCACTGGCGCCCTGTGCTCTTCACAGATGAAAGCAGGTTCATACTGAGCACATGTGACAGACATGACAGAGTCTGGAGATGCCGTGGAGAATGTTCTGCTGCCTGCAACATCCTCCAGCATGACTGGTTTGGCAGTGGGTCAGTAATGGTGTGGGGTGGCATTTCTTTTGGGGGCCGCAGAGCCCTCCATGTGCTCACCAGAGGTAGCCTGACTGCCACTTGGTACCGAGATGAGATCCTCAGACCCCTTGTGAGACCATATGCTGGTCTGGTTGGCCCTGGGTTCCTCCTAATGCAAGACAATGCTAGACCTCATGTGGCTGGAGTGTGTCAGCAGTTCCTGCAAAACGAAGGCATTGATGCTATGGACTGGCCCGTCCGTTCCCCAGACCTGAATCCAACATCTGGGACATCATGTCTCACTCCATCCACCAATGTCACATTGCACCACAGACTTTCCAGGAGTTGGCAGATGCTTTAGTCCAGGTTTGGGAGGAGATCCCTCAGGAGACCATCCGCCACCTCATCAGGAGCATGCACAGGCATTGTAGGGAGGTCATACAGGCACATTGAGGCCACACACACTACTGAGCTTCATTTTGACTTGTTTTAAGGACATTACATCAAAGTTGGATCAGTCTGTAGTGTGTTTTTCCACTTTAATTTTGAGTGTGACTCCAAATCCAGACCTCCATGGGTTGAAAAATTTGATTTCCATTTTTTCATTTTTGTGTGATTTTGTTGTCAGCACATTCAGCTATGTAAAGAACAAAGTATTTCAGAAGAATATTTAATTCATTCAGATCTAGGATGTGTTATTTTTGTGTTCCCTTTATTTTTTTGAGCAGTGTATATATATATATATACATACATACATACACAGGACTCAACAAATTACAGGTGCCAGGTCACCATGGCGACTAGAAATGTTGCCCTTGCACCTGAGATTTGTCAGCCCTTTGCTAAGTCGCGCAGGAATCATTAAAGCAGGAACAAGCTCACTGACACCCACGCTTACTACAGACAAGCTAACCGACACCCATACAATCTCACTAACACACATGCTCACTATAGACAAGCGTACTGACACACATGCTCACTACAAACAAGCTCACTGACACACACAAGCTCACTACAGACAAACTCACTGATACCCACACAGGCTCACTACAGAAAAGCTCACTGACACACATAATCTCACTAGAGACAAGCTCACTAACACACATGCTCACTACAGACAAGCTCACTGACACACAAGCTTATTACAGACAAGCTCACCGACACACATGCTCACTACAGACAAGCTCACCGACACACATGCTCACTACAGACAAGCTCACTAACACACACAATCTCACTACAGACAAGCTCACTAAAACACACACACGCTCACTACAGACAAGCTCACTGACACACACATTAGCTCACTAGAGACAAGCTCACTGACACACAAGCTTATTACAGACAAGCTCACCGACACACATGCTCACTACAGACAAGCTCACCGACACACATGCTCACTACAGACAAGCTCACTAACACACACAATCTCACTACAGACAAGCTCACTAAAACACACACACGCTCACTACAGACAAGCTCACTGACACACACATTAGCTCACTAGAGACAAGCTCACTGACACACAAGCTTATTACAGACAAGCTCACCGACACACATGCTCACTACAGACAAGCTCACCGACACACATGCTCACTACAGACAAGCTCACTAACACACACAATCTCACTACAGACAAGCTCACTAAAACACACACACGCTCACTACAGACAAGCTCACTGACACACACATTAGCTCACTAGAGACAAGCTCACTGACACACATGCTCACTACAGACAAACTCACTGACACACAAGCTCACTGGCACACATGATTACTACAGACAAGTTCACTGAACACACACAAGCTCACTACAGACAAGCTCACTGACACACACACAAGCTCACTCGGTAGCAGGCACATACACATACAAGATCACTCTGTCATGCTATGCTTTGGAAGCCTACCTGGCACTGGAGGCTTTGGCTGTAGGAGAACTGAGAGGCCTGTTTCTCCTGCAAGATCCTCTGCTAGAGAGTGGGGGCAGAGCTTCATGTTGGGGTGGAGCTTGCGTATGAGGAGGCGATCTTCCATGTAGGGGCAGAGCTTGTGTGCCAGGGAAGCTGCTGCACAGTGGCAAAGCTAACGTAGAATTGGCCCTGGTGCAAAAATTGTTTTGGGCTCTTGACGACACATGCCCATGGGGTGGCACGGGCCACTAGATGGGCCCCAGTGTAACTGCAACATTAGCACTAACTGTAGTTCCACCACTGCGTGTATGTGTATATAGAAGTCTGTTTATGGTGTACTATGTTACATAGTTACATAGCTGAAAAGAGACTTGCGTCCATCAAGTTCAGCCTACCTCACATTTGTTTTTTGCTGTTGATCCAAAAGAAGGCAAAAAAAACCAGTTTGAAGCACAATTTTGCAACAAGCTAGGAAAAAAATTCCTTCTTGACCCCAGAATGGCAGTCAGATTTATCCTTGGATCAAGCAGTTATTACCCTACATTGAAAGATTATATCCTTGAATATTCTGTTCTTGCAAGTATGCATCTAGTAGCCGTTTGAACATCTGTATGGACTCTGATAAAACCACTTCCTCAGGCAGAGAATTCCACATTCTGATTGTTCTTACAGTAAAAAAACCTTTCCTTTGCCTTAGACGAAATCTTCTTTCTTCCAGTCTAAACTCATGGCCTCGTGTCCTATGTAAAGTCCGGTTTGTGTAACTAGGGGCTGTAGTGTGAGCACATGCTCACGTATAGGAGCTTTTTAGATTGTGTGTGTGCTGAGAGGGCCTTTAAAGTGTGTGCATGTGCATCTAGGGACTGCAGTGTGAGTGTATGTGTATTGTGGTTGCATTGTGTGCTTATCAAAGATGCCCATCTATAAGGAGATGCTAATTGGCCAGGGCTGTGTTTATCTTTTGGTGGCTCTTTCTCTGATCTGTCTCTTTGACAGTCTCAGCTAAACCAAGGCTTTCCTATGGGAAAGCTTTGGATTGGCTGAGAACACCACTTCTATGATCTCAGCCAAGCAGGCAGATCATGGGCAGAGCCAGCAGCAGCAGACTGCAATAAAGGTATGATTTTACTATATTTTTGATCTTGGCTTGTCTTATCACTCCTCGTCTCATTCTGTGTCCCTGATCTTGGCTTGTCTCATACAATTCTATATAGCATTAAGTCCAGCCACTTAATAGCATTAAGTAGTGATGTCCCAAACGGTTCACCACGGAGGGCGAACATATGCGCTTTTCGGTCCACCCCCTATTCGTCATCATTGAGTAAACTTTAACCCTGTACCTCACAGTCAGCAGACACATTCCAGCCAATCAGCAGCAGACCCTCCCTCCCAGACCCTCCCACCTTCTGGACAGCTCACTAAGAATGCAGCTTCACAATGAATGTAAAATGTATGCTCTCCAGGAGGTGGGAGGGTCTGGGAGGAAGGGTCTGCTGCTGATTGGCTGGAATGTGTCTGCTGACTGTGAGGTACAGGGTCAAAGTTTACTCAATGATGACATAGGGGGCGGACCGAACAGCGCATATGTTCGCCATCCATGGCGAACCGTTCGGGACATCACTATATATAGATAATGCCTCTGCAGTCTCACTGCTCAATTAAATCACTTTTATTTCTGTTTATGCGGCCCTAGTCACACCTTCAATTGCTGTGCTCACACGGCCTGCATTGGTTTTATCAGATTTTAACTTGCTTTAGAAGCTTTTATCTCCTACTCTGTAAATTAAACTTTACTCATACGCAGGAGACTCCTGCTATTAAAAGGCAGGAAATAAGAAATTCTAAATTAAACAAAATGTGCAATAAAGGAAGTTTAAACATTAGGTATCTCTACAGGAAGTGTTTAGGAAGGCTGTGTAAGTAACATGCAGGGGGGTGTGACCAGGGCTGCACAAACAAAGTGATTTAACTCCTATATGGCAGAGAATTGAGCAGTGAGACTGCAGGTGCATAATCATTTATACAAACACTGCTTCATAAAGCTAAAGTTACTTTGGTGACTATAGAGTCCCTTTAAGTATAACAGGGTTATTCACAAGTGAGAATCCAAAGTGAATTAGATTTTGTTAGGTAAAAATAGCCAAACTAGAAGAATAGCTTCTGACTTAGACAATGTTTTGTGAATACCCAAGTTAGACCCAAGTTAAGAGAATACTTTTTTTTTTAAATTCACTTTCAAATTTAAGATCAAAATAGCCAAAATGTCAGCAATGCTTTAATTTTAGCAAATCTGACCTTAAATTTAAAATTTAAGTTGAATTCTCACTTTAGTGCATAACAATGTGTGTAACAAATAAAAACACTTGCTTTTATCTGAGTCATACTTTATCACATTTGCATTACCAGTAATATACCCAATATTCCTTTATAGATAATGTAATTATCAAAACATAATGCATAATCTACTACCTGTGATCCATCAGTCGTACTAATATTGTGTACGTATTTGCTGAATGTCATAATAAGGACATTTCTCTAATTTCCTGGACAAGTTTGATAACATCCATAAAAATGTTTTTTTTTAAATCAGCAAATAAATAAATAAATAGTGTATCCATAAAAAATGGATATACACAGGATATCAGTCATTCTTACTTATCTAATTACTCCTTGGAAGAACACAGTCTCCGCTGAAACATTTTCTGAGTAAACAGTTATTAAAGAAATTTTCACCTTTGCCTTTTCGCTGGATTTGGATGTATTGGAATGCCTGCTTTATTTGACATTTACTCTGATGACACACTGGCTAAATCAACTGAAATATATCTATTTGTAAAACCAATAATTAGCTTTGCATTATCATTTCTAGTTATGCCGTCAATAAAATAGTACAGCAAGGATGTAATTATGTTGAAAGTGCTCTACAAGGTAATTATTAGCATTGCAAATACAGGCTTGGTTACCTTACAAGCAAATATCACAAGGCATACATTCTTATTTCCTTCTTGTGCAAAACATTCAGGTATGCAACATATGGCCTTGTGGAATATTCACTAAGCAGTGAATTTTTGTGAATAGCAAAATGGAAACTTAAAGGGACACTCCAGGCACCCAGATCACTTCTGCCCATTGGAGTGATCTGGGTGCCAACTCCCACCACCCTTTACCCTGCAAGGGTAATTATTGCAGTCTATCAGACAGCCACTAGAGGGACTTCCATGTTCTTAGAACAGGAAAAGTGTTTTAAACAACGCTGGACGTCCTCACGCTATGCATGAGGACCTCCAGCGTTGCCGTTATCCCCATAGGAAAGCATTGGATAATGCTTTCCTATGGGGAGGTCTAATGCGAGCGCGGCCATTGCCGCACATGCGCATTAGGTCTCCCCCGCTGGCTGAGGTCGGCGGGGGAGGAGAGCAGGTGGACCTGACCCAGTGCCGAGGGACATCGGCGCTGGATTCAGGTAAGTCACTAAGGGGGGTTTTAACCCCTTCAGCAACATGGGATGGGGGGTGGGAGGGAGAGGGGCACTGCAGCGTCCTGCAGTGCCAGGAAAACAGATATGTTTTCCTGGCACTTGAAAGTCCCTTTAAATAACAAAGTCAGGAAAAATTTAAAAAGTCAAATAAATATTTAAAAAATATAAAACAGCAGATACCAAGTTCACATGGACCTTAGATTTGTTTTAGCCCTGATATATTCCTCTTCTACTAAGGTCCATGTGTGTTAGAAACTGCTATTTTATATAATTGCACTTTTTGTTTGATATTATTGCACTAGTGGTCTAATGTTCTTTTAAATATGTCTGTATATTTAATTATTGAGCAGAACTACAAGGGAACAGCAGTTGCGATTTAAAGGGAAAGTATAACACGAGATGTGTACTACAGTGATCAACAGCATTTGTTTTGATTGTGATGAGCGTGTCATATCACCATGGCTGGATTTGCCATAAGGCCACCAAGGCCTGGTAAGAGGGGAGCGGCACAGACAGTGAGGAGACCTAATATCTCCCTCATGGGCCAGCCTATTCTCCTGCCTTCGGCTGAGGCTGACAGAGAAGATTCCCTGGCCAGCCACAGCAAGGCTATCACTCAAGTAGAGAGTGGGCTCCATTGTGGGTGTGGAATAAGAAAATCTTAATCAAAGACAAGGCCACCATGATACTTTGACTGTATCAGAGGGTTGCTGCAGCTTACCATGGCAGTGCTCTGATACATTCCCCTAGCGCCGGCCAGAAGGAGTTGTGTGCCCCCACCAGACCACCAAAGATCAGGATTCCCTAGTCCCTAATGGACTCAAACTTAAAACCTATTTAAAGGTTTTTACAGCCCCTCTAACAATATCCCTCCACCACAGTCCCTATCATCACACTATCCTCTTACTTTAACCCCTGTACCCAACACTACAGCCCCTTTCTCCCCATCAACAATCACAGAACAATACAGATACAGGGATGCAGCACTCTTAAAATTGCAAAGCTTCTGAAGCGTGATCATCGAACAATCAAGCGTTTCATTCAAAATAGTCAACAGGGTCGCAAGAAGCGTGTGGAAAAACCAAGGCGCAAAATAACTGCCCATGAACTGAGAAAAGTCAAGCGTGCAGCTGCCACGATGCCACTTGCCACCAGTTTGGCCATATTTCAGAGCTGCAACATCACTGGAGTGCCCAAAAGCACAAGGTGTGCAATACTCAGAGACATGGCCAAGGTAAGAAAGGCTGAAAGACGACCACCACTGAACAAGACACACAAGCTGAAACGTCAAGACTGGGCCAAGAAATATCTCAAGACTGATTTTTCTAAGGTTTTATGGACTGATGAAATGAGAGTGAGTCTTGATGGGCCAGATGGATGGGCCCGTGGCTGGATTGGTAAAGGGCAGAGAGCTCCAGTCCGACTCAGACGCCAGCAAGGTGGAGGTGGAGTACTGGTTTGGGCTGGTATCATCAAAGATGAGCTTGTGGGGCCTTTTCGGGTTGAGGATGGAGTCAAGCTCAACTCCCAGTCCTACTGCCAGTTCCTGGAAGACACCTTCTTCAAGCAGTGGTACAGGAAGAAGTCTGCATCCTTCAAGAAAACATGATTTTCATGCAGGACAATGCTCCATCACACGCGTCCAAGTACTCCACAGCGTGGCTGGCAAGAAAGGGTATAAAAGAAGAAAATCTAATGACATGGCCTCCTTGTTCACCTGATCTGAACCCCATTGAGAACCTGTGGTCCATCATCAAATGTGAGATTTACAAGGAGGGAAAACAGTACACCTCTCTGAACAGTGTCTGGGAGGCTGTGGTTGCTGCTGCACGCAATGTTGATGGTGAACAGATCAAAACACTGACAGAATCCATGGATGGCAGGCTTTTGAGTGTCCTTGCAAAGAAAGGTGGCTATATTGGTCACTGATTTGTTTTTGTTTTGTTTTTGAATATCAGAAATGTATATTTGTGAATGTTGAGATGTTATATTGGTTTCACTGGTAATAATAAATAATTGAAATGGGTATATATTTGTTTTTTGTTAAGTTGCCTAATAATTATGCACAGTAATAGTCACCTGCACACACAGATATCCCCCTAACATAGCTAAAACTAAAAACAAACTAAAAACTACTTCCAAAAATATTCAGCTTTGATATTAATGAGTTTTTTGGGTTCATTGAGAACATGGTTGTTGTTCAATAATAAAATTAATCCTCAAAAATACAACTTGCCTAATAATTCTGCACTCCCTGTATTCTTAGCAAACACACATTCTAGCCTCTATCTCCCCAAATCCACTGTATAGTTTCTATCCCCCCAAACATACCCTGCAGCCACTATCCTCCCCAATACACAAACTACAGCCCCTATCCCACTCAGCACATACACACTAGAGCTTCTATCCACACACAGCCCCTATTTACACGCATACACACATACTACACTGCGAAAAGCTGCATCCAACACACAACCCCATATCATTCCCTCTCCCACATATGCAATCCTATAAGCAGCATTTCAACCACACTCACCATCTTAAAAGAAGCATACCCCACACACACAACCCACAAAGTAGCATCACCAGAAACAAGCAACACCTCAACTAGCCTACCCTTACAATGAAACAACAAACAGTCACCCCACACAACACCACAAGCAGCCTCCCCCACGAACATACAACACCACAAGCAACCTCCACATACACACACACACTCTCCCAACCCAGTCCCACTTATCATCCAACCATCCACCTAGTCGCATTCAGCGCTCAATTATATCCTTACTAGTTACATTAACATGTCGAAGCGAAACCCCCAAACTAACCCTAGGCCATTGGGGGTGCATAGAGGAAATTTGCCCTGGGGCAATGATCACAATAATCTTCCTAATCATTTACAGACAAGTAGAGATAGAAAGTGCCTATAATACAGAATAATCTGGTTTTAGCGGTAGAGGGAGTAGAAGTATCAAATTCACAGCTAGTTAAATGATACAATAAATAGCTCTTAAACTGGAAGTGGGGGGAGGTTCACCAATTCTCCCTATAAAGACAAGTAAAACAATCTCACTTATAAAAATAATACACTTGTAGAGTTCCCAGGAGCTAATGAGTTAAAAATCACAAATGATAATAAAACTACAATATATCTTAACCCCTTAAGGACACAACTTCTAGAATAAAAGGGAATCATGACGGAATATTTCCGTCATGTGTCTTTAAGGGGTTAAATTGAGCACCACAGTGGATTGGGTACATGTACATTCAAAAAAGAACTCAGATAAAATAGTCCTGAATACTTTCTTAGTATAAGTCCAAAAGTCCACAGAATATAGCAAGAGGGAAAATCACACAAGACTGTGCCTATAAGAAATGCACAGTCGTGGAGCCCTTTTGCAAGTATAATATAATTCACTGGTAACAAATGAATATCAAAAGAAAAAAGCAATCAAAAAATAAATAAACTGAAAAAGAGGAAAGCAACACAGTACTGAAGAAAACTGCTTGCAGACGAGTGACTGATTAGTGATCCATTTTTTTTCAATTCAGATTTATCTTTGTCTCAATTTGTCTCAAGTAAAGGAGCTTAACATGTATAGCCTGGAGGAAAGATGAGACGGGGAATATGATAGAAACATTACAATACATAAAGGTAATCAGCACAGTAAGGAGAAAAGTACATTTAAAAGAAGAAAAACTACCACAACAAGAGGATATAGTCTTAAATTAGAGGGACAAAGGTTTAAAAATAATATCAGAAAGGGCGGCGGAGCCTGACTTGAATGGCCGCAATCCTGCAGAGCTCCGTACAAACGACATCAAATCCATACCAATCTGGGACCCCTCAGCTCCATCGAAACGCACAACCACCCCCTAGGTTACCCCACGAAGACAGACAACCCACTAATGTCTTTTTTGTTCCCACAAACGGGTAAGAAGACCCGACGGTGAACAGGGGCCTACACCAAGTTCATAACTGCCAAGCTTGCGCTTGACAGCCTCACGCAGAGACCGAGCACCGGCACCCCACAACAGACCAGTTCAGCCGAAACAGACAGCCACACTATGGGGTGACCGTCCCAAAGGCCAACCTTGGTCACTAACAGAGACACGCAAGGTATTGGCACACTGCTCCAACGACAAATGGCGCCCAAGATGGTGGCCTCTCCAGACCACGAGCCGGCCTCACGAGACAAAGAAGAACAACATGTGGAGATGCCGGAGTTCTCTCCTTTCCAGCCAACATTGGAGACACCAGCCAGTCGGGACAAGCACACCCCGGCCACCAAGCAAGACATTGCGGACCTGCTCATGGAATTGAGACAAATGCACTCAGCGGCTCTTGACATGCTAAAGACCGCAATCCAGGTGACTGCACGCACGCAGGCCTAGGAGGAGGACATACTAGACCTGATGCAGGAGGTACAACGGCTAAAGGAGCATGTCCAACAAATGCAAACTTCCCTCCCTACAAGGGTGGATGTGGCTGAGAACCGCACTAGGCTGACTAACATAAAAATATGGTGGATCCCAGAGAGAATAGACCCTACTAAACTGCCCCACTACCATAGATGCCTCACAGACACACTTCTACCGCACGCCCAAGCGAAAAAGCTCATGCTAGACGGCTTCTTTCGCATACGAAAGCCAAGACAAGCACCACCCACTGCATCACAGGATGTCATTATAATGTGCCACTCTGTGGCCGACAAAATCAGGCTTCTCTCTGCAGTCAAAGGAAAGACTCCACTTGCTTTCGAGTCATCCCACCTAACCTTCTTTCAGGACTTAACCCGGAGCATTATTATGGAGAAGATCGTTGGGCCCAGTAAGAAGCCAGCTGCGTGACGCCGACATTGAATATAAATGGACATTGCCGAGATCTCTAACAGTGATCAAGGAAGGCACCACTTTCACTCTCACCTCACTACAGGAGGCAGAACCGCTCCTGCGTGCACTGGGGATCCTCCAGTGACCACAGCAACAGGCGACCCCCTCGACGTCGCACTCCTGGGACCCGGAGAGAACAACGTCCTTCGTGCCCAGAAACGCAGAGAGGAGAGGGGCTCCAACTTGAACTGATACATCGACACAAACATTTCATGTTTTATTTAGTTGCCTTTTTTGTTCCTTTAATGTTTCACTCCACTGTGGACTACACACTTCCCATACACTTTAACGCCCCTCACACTGGGCACAGTACCAATAGGCCCCAGGTGGCTTCAATGGCATTCCGTGAGCTCTTACCATCCACGCGAGCGCCACAAGCACTCACGAGCTCCATAATACCCCCTCTCCCCTGTAACCACCATGGTTAGGGGTCACAATCCCACCCAGCCGGCTCCACAGCAGATCTCCCGGCTACCCGGGAAGAGCACATGCCCACACTACAACGTGTGAGATGCGACTCACACGCCACAACACCCCCTCACAACTAAGAGCGGACCTGCCTGCCCCGGATATCCTTACCCTAAAAATGCCACAGACGGTACCCCAACTAAAAGGAGACACACTCACGCACTACCTGCTCCCCTAGGTCCTGGCGAAGGTGGACCGCACGATTGACAACCCAACGACAGGCAAACCACTGACGACTAATGCGGTTCACTTATATTCTGACCCACTGTACTGCGATGTTATCGTTGTTATAGTGATATTTGTTTTCTCTTTTCTCATGTCATGTCATGCGCTTACACACAACCGCGCTTGCTAGACGAACCTGCTAATGTTAACAAGCCGGCCTTAGTTGGGTACTGACCCTGTCTTAACCAGCCTGACTTTCACACCACACCACACCACTAAAAACAATGTGCACAATTAGATGATATCACATAATGTAGGATGCATATTTGCCTGACTGCTCTGTGTTATCAAATGTTCATCACTACTCTCTGGTGGCTGTTTGGGGCCACACGGGCTGTACCTTGTATTATCATGCAATGCAAAAATAAAGAATTATAAAAATAATAAAAACTAGAAAAGCTACAATTTCTGGGGAAATTGTGTGAAGTGTTCTTGCCTCCACCAGTAGTCTACAACTGGAGTGTGCAGAGTAACTGTTATTATTTATTTATATAGCACATTTAATTGCAACGTTGTTGCCCAAAGTGCTTCACAGTTACATTAAAACATACATTTAGAAAAACATTAGCAGGTGTACAAAAGGCCCTGTCTATGACATCACATGCTGCTCCAGCCTGGCACAGGTCAGAGTATTTTGGTGGTTGCCATCTTCAAACGGTGACCACAGCAACAGGCAACCCCCTCGACGTCGCGCTCCTGGGACCCGGAGAGAACAACGTCCTTCGTGCCCAGAAACTTTGACCCTGTACCTCACAGTCAGCAGACACATTCCAGCCAATCAGCAGCAGACCCTCCATCCCAGACCCTCCCACCTCCTGGACAGCATCCATTGTGAAGCTGCATTCTTAGTGAGCTGTCCATGAGGTGGGAGAGTCTGGGAGGGAGGGTCTGCTGCTGATTGGCTGGAATGTGTCTGCTGACTGTGAGGTACAGGGTCAAAGTTTACTCAATGATGAGTCCGTGGCGAACCGTTCGGCGAACAGTTCGGGACATCACTATCCAGGAATTGTGTACAGATCCTTGCAACATGGAGCCGTGCATTTTCATGCTGAAACATGAGGTGATGGTCGTGGATGAATGGCACAACAATGGGCCTCAGGATCTCGTCACGGTATCTCTGTGCATTCAAATTTCCATTAATAAAATGCACCTGTGGCGAAACCAAGCTCGCCACTGTGAACTGGAGAAGCCTGGTTGCTCGCCTGCTCCCTTTGGACTATGGCCCTGCAGGTTAAACCATTTATTTTCCCTGCAGAAAGGCTTATTCGTGTGATCTGAGTGCCATTCATCTAATAATGTGCGCTCAGATCAAAGCTATCTGGGGATGTGTAGAAATGTGTGTTTTATGTACTAAATGTATCAGTATGTAATTTTATGTCTTTTACTGTCTTTTTGTCTGCCATGTGGGTAATGGAGTTTTGCCTCTGTCCTGGGAGATAATTAGATTCCTTCCCCAATTATCTCCAGGCCAGAGGGGAGGGATTGTGAGGCATTGTGGGAGGTAACTCATGTGTGATTGGTGTATTGTGTAATTGTTGTAAATCCCTCCCTTGCATGGGAGAATCATTTATAAGCCTGTTGTGTGAATAAATCAGGGTTGTTCCTGTTTAACCCTCCAAGTGAAGTGTCGTCTCATTCTTGGGGGGAATTTGACTGTATGCAGATTGCCAGGAGTGTAAGCTGTTCTTAGGGCTTTTCCTGTTCGGCTGCTTCCAGGGTTTGTGTGTTTCCTGTTCGGGAGTTGGGGATTCGTACAGTTTGGAGTTCGGGAGATTGGTGATTGCAGTAGCTGCTGGTCTATGGGAAAGGGGATTATCGCCTAAACGGTTTTTATCCTCTTGTGAGAGAAACGGTCCGTTACAATTGGTGGCAAGCGACGGGATCATTCCCACAGCCCAGAAGGACAGCTACAAGGTAACACCACCTCCTGGACTTACAAATGGAGGGCAGCAGGGCAAGCATGGCACCCAGCTACACTCAGGAGCAGTATGACAGAGAATTTACCACGCGGATGGCTTTCTTTGGACCCAACCCCCCAGAGAGATGCGTGCAGTTCGTAAGGAGCCAGGTAGTCGAGTACCTGCAGTTCATGGCATATCCAGCCAAAGGTATCGGCCGCCCTATCCGGTGGCAGAGTGCGTTACGGGGACTCAAAAGGGTACCCCAGGGAGCTGAAGGTGTCGTCCTTCCTCCCCAGCGGCAGTGTGTGTCCCAGGGAGCATAAGGTGCAGTCCTTCCTCCCCAGCGGCAGTGTGTATCCCAGGGAGCTGAAGGTGCCGTCCTTCCTCCCCAGCGGCAGTGTGTGTCCCAGGGAGCTGAAGGTGCCGTCCTTCCTCCCCAGCGGCAGTGTGTGTCCCAGGGAGCTGAAAGTGTGGTCCTTCCTCCCCAGTGGCAGTGTGTGTCCCAGGGAGCAGAAGGTGCAGTCCTTCCTCCCCAGCGGCAGTGTGTGTCCCAGGGAGCTGAAGGTGCCGTCCTTCCTCCCCAGCGGCAGTGTGTGTCCCAGGGAGCTGAAGGTGCCGTCCTTCCTCCCCAGCGGCAGTGTGTGTCCCAGGGAGCTGAAGGTGCCGTCCTTCCTCCCCAGCGGCAGTGTATATCCCAGGGAGCAGAAGGTGCAGTCCTTCCTCCCCAGCGGCAGTGTGTATCCCAGGGAGCTGAAGGTGTTGTCCTTCCTCCCCAGCGGCTGTGTGTACCCCAGGGAGCTGAAGGTGCCGTCCTTCCTCCCCAGCGGCAGTGTATATCCCAGGGAGCAGAAGGTGTAGTCCTTCCTCCCCAGCGGAAGTGTGTACCCCAGGGAGCTGAAGGTGTTGTCCTACCTCCCCAGCGGCAGAATGTCCTGCAGGGAGCAGGGACTGTCAGTCTTGCCCCCCAGCCGCAGGACAAGATAATGAAAGGGGAGACAGCTGGTCCCCCTCTCCACCAGCAGAGAGAGTGTCAGGGAGAGGAGCCTGATACCCCCTCTCCCCAGCAGCAGTTTTTAGAGTCCAGAGAGAGGAGCTTGTTACACCCTCTCTCAAGCGGCAGCCTAACCCACCAAGGGGAGATGTTACACCCCCGAACGGTGCAGATGGGACCGTAGTCTCTGTACTTGCAGCACAAGGGGTAAGGACGGTCGGTCCTGTCCCCCAGCCACTGAGCGATATATCCAGAGGGGAGACAGTCGGTCTCTCCCTCCCACAACCAGGCTCCAACCAGACTACTTCCGCGGTAGTACTGGCACCAGGGCAGAGTACCGCTAGTCTCTGCCCACTCAGCAACCCACCAAGGCAGCCTAACAGTTCCCCACACAGTCGTAGTGAGGCACCTGGACATGGACAAAGCTCTCCTCTACCCAGGTGTAGTAACCAGTTATTGTGGGTGGGCTGTACTGCTGTTTCTGTTTTGTGGGTGGGTTGCTGGACTAACCAGGGCACTGACCGGCAGGAGGTCAGATACCCTGTTAGTCCAGTTGGTAAAGGGGAGAAGTGTGGCGAAACCAACCTCGCCACTGTGAACTGGAGAAGCCTGGTTGCTCGCCTGCTCCCTTTGGACTATGGCCCTGCAGGTTAAACCATTTATTTTCCCTGCAGAAAGGCTTATTCGTGTGAGCTGAGTGCCATTCATCTAATAATGTGTGCTCAGATCAAAGCTATCTGGGGATGTGTAGAAATGTGTGTTTTATGTACTAAATGTATCAGTATGTAATTTTATGTCTTTTACTGTCTTTTTGTCTGCCATGTGGGTAATGGAGTTTTTCCTCTGTCCTGGGAGATAATTAGATTCCTTCCCCAATTATCTCCAGGCCAGAGGGGAGGGATTGTGAGGCATTGTGGGAGGTAACTCATGTGTGATTGGTGTATTGTGTAATTGTTGTAAATCCCTCCCTTGCATGGGAGAATCCTTTATAAGCCTGTTGTGTGAATAAATCAGGGTTGTTCCTGTTTAACCCTCCAAGTGAAGTGTTGTCTCATTCTTGGGGGGAATTTGACTGTATGCAGATTGCCAGGAGTGTAAGCTGTTCTTAGGGCTTTTCCTGTTCGGCTGCTTCCAGGGTTTGTGTGTTTCCTGTTCGGGAGTTGGGGATTCGTACAGTTTGGAATTCGGGAGATTGGTGATTGCAGTAGCTGCTGGTCTATGGGAAAGGGGATTATCGCCTAAACGGTTTTTATCCTCTTGTGAGAGAAACGATCCGTTACAGCACCTGTGTTCATTTTCCATAACATACACCTGCCCATACCATAACCCCACCTCCACTTGATCTACAAAGTTGACATCAGCAAACTGCTCACCCACACAACGCCATACACGCTGTCTGCCATCTGCCCTGTAAGGTCAAAACCGGGATTCATCTGCGAAGAGAACACCTCTCCAAAGTGCCAGACACCATGGAATGTGAGCATTTGCCCACTCAAGTCGGTTACGACGACGAACTGCAGTCAGGTCGAGACCCCGATGAGGACGAAAAGCATGCAGATGAACTTCCCTGAGACGGTTTCTGACAGTTTGTGAAGAAATTATTTGGTTATGCAAACTGATTGTTGCAGCAGCTGTCCGGGTGACTAGTCTCAGATGATCTTGGAGGTAGAGATGCTGGATGTGGAGGTCCTGGGCTGGTATGGTTACACATGGTCTGCGGTTTTGAATCTGGTTGGATGTACTGCCAAAATCTCTGAAACGCCTTTGGAGATGGCTTATGGTAGCGAAATGAACATTCAATTCAAGGGAAACAGCTCTGGTGGACATTCCTGCAGTCAGGATGACAATTTCACGCTCCCTCAAAACGTGCGACATCTGTGGCATTGTGCTGTGTGATAAAACTGCGAGTGGCCTTTTATTGTGGCAAGCCTAAGGCACACCTGTGCAATTATCATGCTGTCTAATCAGCATCTTGATTTGCCACACCTGTGAGGTAGATGGATTATCTTGGCAAAGTAGAAATGCTCACTAACACAGATTTACCAAGATTTGTGAACAATATTTGAGAGAAATAAGCCTTTTGTGTATATAGAAAAAGTCTTAGTTCTTGGGGGCAAAAACAAAAGTGTTGCGTTTATAATTTTGTTCAGTGTATGTTTCATTGGGGCTATATCTTAAAAGAGATTGCAAAAGTAGTAGTTTTTATAACTTCAGCCTTTGCAAGACCTATCCCCCTCTGACAAGGAGGTATCCGGGGAGGAGGCAGGCGTGTGCTCAAGTAGAGCCTTCCTGCTGCTTCCCCCTGGTTGTTTGATTGAAAACTGTGCAGTGTTTCTAATAGAAATCGCCACTTTTAGAAACTGTCATTAGGTCAATATAATGTATACTAAACAATGGTCCTATAAGTGACAGTTCAACTTTTAAAGAACATAATTATTAATAATGTAAAAATGTTTTTGCTTTTCCAGAAGAAAAAAATATATATTTTAAATATAAGTACTTAAATGGGGTATTGATATTTTACATCAGAGTTTTACTCTCAGACTAGTTACATACGGAATACACCATAAAGGGTTATACCAGACGGTTTTCTTTTCCTGTAGAGCCTTTACAGGTATTAATTAATTCTCTCTCTATGGAAGCTGGTGTAAGGTCAATATTTCTTTTTGTCAAAGAGTTGTAAAATCTTCCCAAATATTCTTTGCACACTGAGAAAAAAAACAGACAAATATGATAGTTTAAAAATTAATTATATGCATTCATAGTATTGCTAATAAATATTTTAAGTTCTAATTTAAATAAAACATTTTTTCAATGTCCAAAATACAGTTATTGCTGCAAATCATTCCATGCAAATCACAACATGAACCATGAATCAAACTCATACAGTGATGGTTTCATTATTCAAACCAAGCACATTATACACACATTATACATACATTATACTTAAAGGGACAATATGGGCGTCAAAACAACTTTAGCTTACTGAAGCAGTTTTGGTGTATTGAGCATACCTCTGCAGTCTCACTGCTCAATTTTCTGCCATTTAGGAGTTAAATAGTTTTTGTTTCTAATTATACAGCCCTAGTCACATCTTCCCTGGCTGTTACTCGCACAGCCTGCATGAAAAAAAGGTTTTATTTTTCAAGTGGATGTTAACTTGCTTTAGATGTTTTTACCTACTGCTCGGTAAATTGAACTTTATTCACAAACAGAAGGCTCCTATGGGGTCTAGAGAGCTATTAATAGAGCAGGAGATAAGAAATTAAACAGACTGCAATAAAGGATGTTTAAACATTAGCTGACTTGTTACACAAAGTGTTTAGGAAGGCTGTGTAAGTCACTCGCAGGAATGTGTGACTAGGCCGTATAAACAGAAATTCAAACTTTAGGCCACAATAGCTAGATTCAAAGCATAGCTGACTTTTTTTTATTTTTTTATTATGCTGTTGGACCTAAATTTCATATTCACTATAAAGTCATTTTGAATTCTTGACATCTCACACTTAAGTGAACAATCCTGTTGCAAAGTTTCCACTTGAACATGCAGTGACCACTTCTGCACTTATGTTTCCAACAGGATTGTTCAATTCAGTGTGAGAAGTGGTCACTGCATATTCAAGTGGAAACTTTGCATTTGGTGCCTAGTATTGCACACTGACTGTCTGGGGGGGTTTATTTGCAGATAGAACTAAGCCTGGGCCTAAAATGGTAAGATTTTCATTGCTTTTCTGTTTACATAGGGCCATCTATTTGCTCTCCTCCTGTCAGCTCCCAGTGCTTCCACAGCATTTCTAAAAAAGGTCCTAGTCAGCAATCGACAGCTCTCCTGTTCCCTCCACATAAATACCAGGGATTCCAGACCAGAAACTCTTAATCTTCCTTCTCCTTATTGTGAGATAAGCTGCATTAGAGAAAGTAGATATTTGAGAGCAAGTAGGTGTGTAAGTGTGGCTAATTATGTCTATACATGTGTGAATATTGTTGGGTGTGCATATTTGTGTGGTTAAAGGGACACTATAGTCACGAGACCAACTACAGCTTATTGTATTTGTTCTGGTGAGTATAATCATTCCCTTTAGGCTTTTTGCAGTAAACACTGTTTTTTGTTTTTTTTTTATTTAAAGAAACTGTACTAGAGGTGCTTCCTGTGTCAGTACTGCCTAGTGAGCAGCACTGCCATTGAGTGTCTTCACCCTCTGCATGCAGATACAGAACTTTCCTCATAGACTTACATTGATTCAATGCATGAGAGATGCTTATTGGTCAGGGCTGTGTTTGACTTGTGCTGGCTCTGCTCCTGATCTACTTCCTTGACAATCTGAGACAATTGGAAAGCATTGTGATTGGCTGAGATCGCCACTTCTGATGATGTCATGCAAGAAGGCAGATCAAGGGCAGAGCCAGCAGCAGCAGACATGAACAAAAGTAAGATTTTACAATATTGAGGGAGGCAGAGGTATGCTACACAGTGTTTTTAACACTTGAGTGTCAGGAATACATGATTGTGTACCTGACCCTATAGTGTTCCTTTAAGTGTGACAGTCAAATATATGTGTGTGACTAGTTATGCATGCATATGTGAGTATGGTGTGTTATGTCTGTTCATACAGATATACAAACAGACACTCTAGTCATCATAACCATTGCAGCACTCTGAGATGGTTAAGGTGTCAGAAATGTGCTGTCCTACTGTAAGTAGTCAAATCATTAGAGACCAACCTGGGTCTCGCTAGACTCGTCTTCTGAGATCACTGATATGGATGTTCCAGTGTGTCTGTTTTGTGGTGTCTGCTTACTTTTGCCATCAAATACCTCTCTCTTAACAATATTTATAATTCAACACCTTTTACAGTAAGAGTTGCCATTTTATTTTTTTAAATGCAGAACATTGCATTTGTCTATATTAAATTTCACAAGTCATTCTGCCTGGCCAGGTGCTACATTTGTCCAAATCCACTTACAGAAATGCAACAGCCCACTGGGAAAATAGTTTGTTATTATGCTTTATCTTTTTTGAAGTAATTTGTTAGCTATATAATATTGACCTTTGTAAATGTCTGTTTTTTGGCAGCAGGTGCGGGTGCATTCTCAGGTTTGTTCTTTAATTTGAGATTGGTGGACGGTCATATTTTTTACGCGCATTAGCATTGTAATTTTGTGTCAGGATGCTGGACACAGGGCTGCAGTACTACGATACTGAGGACATGCCTGATTCACCTATTGTCTATCTCTGAAGAGGTCTGCGTTGAGTAGTATTTTCGGAGCGCTTTTGGACATGGGTCATGCACCCTTGCCCCTTATATCACTTATGGCAGCATTATTGGGGTCTACCTGATCTGCCCTAAACCTTAAATCTCTCTGCTTGCCTCAATGTAACTTTGGAGCATGCCATTACAATACAGAGCCAGCATCCATCATCCATGTTTAAGTGTAAATGAATTCTGCTGTATTTTAACATATGTATGTGCAAAGACACACCACTCTCCTTCACATGGTGAGGTTTGCCATGCACAGTGTTTGCACATGTTCTGAACTTTGTCTGGCTATTTGGTTCAGAGCTTGGTCAGACTTTAAAATGGTTGTAGCTTGAGCTTTGCCAAATTAGTATACGTCTTAAAAAATACATTTTCTTTTACACTGAGCCCCACCCACCGGACAAATTATCAGGTTGGGGTCATGCACTAAAAATGACATAATACAGAGGGAAATTATCTTGGTGCGATATGACCCAACAGTGACAGTCATTGGTTAAGGAATGGAGCACATTTTGTATATGTTACATTTGCAGGATTATATACTAACAGGGTTGTTCACTTAGGTCCAAATAGAACAAAACCATCCAGGTGCATACGGGGCCCATTTGGACTGCAAAATCCTGGAGTTGATGATGAGGGCCCTAATATTTATATAAAGGGATTGGGCCTTTTCTACGTCTGGCCAGCAATGGTATTTTCACCAGATTTTATCCATTCAGACATTATCTGGTGTTTAGTAAATATCCCAGTGAAAGTGAGAATTCCATGTGAATATAAAACATAAGGGCCAAAAAGCTGAATTGGAAAAAAAAAATATCAAAATCAGATGTGCTTCCTGTTCGGGGTTTTGGTCTAAAGTTTAAAATTAACTTTAGTCAGATGAATTTCAAATTTAATGCCGCAGTAGCCAAAACAGAAGCATAGCTGACTTGAAGAAATATTTTCAGTTTCACCTTAAATTTGAAATTCCCTTTGAATTCCTATCGCTTTAGTATGAAACACTTCTGATGTTCTGATGGCCAGCATAATGGACTTGTTAGACACGACATCAGTGCTATGAATCATCAATAATTATTTTATTTCAGCTCTGCAATATCGAATAAAGAGGTATTCTTTCACTTTTAATCTCCATACATTATTTGTGCATGTTCTACCTTTTACATTACAATCTGGTATGATAAATACAGATTTCTACACATGAAGCATCACAACAAATTAAGCAGTGTAAAGTAGATGTATGAATTTTGGTAGATATTGTGTGACTTCTTTTGACATTATGCCAGACTTGAGAAATGCTTTGAGAAAGCCCTGGACACCAGTTATGCACAGCATGTTTTAATAATGTAGTGACAATAGCATAGACAAGAACATGTGAATTTCAAACGGGTGTCACAATAGCTAAACTAGAGAAAGTCAGCTACTCTGGCCTTAAAATTGAAATTCTCACTTTACTAAATACCCTGTTTGCAAAACAATTTTAGAACTCTAATTAAAAGACTACAATCTACAAATTATTATTATTTTTTAATGTTTTGGACACATTTCTTTTGTAGTTTTTAGAATATAGAGTCACTTTTTATTAAATACTATTAGTAGTTCTTAGTCGTTAGTGTGGTAGGAGGTTGTAAAACCTTCAGAGATAATCTAGCCCTACATTTGCTTAGAAGTTTCAGAATGTGCTAGCTTTTATTCATTCAAGAAAACACAATCTGTCAGTATAATTTGTTACATTAGAAATGGAGTCCTGTTCTCTTATAGCATGGGCATTCTAATATTACAGAATGGCTGCTTGTTGATTCTGGTGAGAGTTGTAAGAGGGCACTGAAAGACCTTTGAGTGGAATAGCACCACTTATTCCTGCTCAGCCTTTGGAATATTCAAGGCCTGTTGGACCCTTAAAGGAGGACACCCACAAACATCCTTGCCATGGGCCCCCAAAAGTTAAGGGTGTGCCTGGTAATGATGCATTTTAAACAAAAGATGTGAGAAAAATATTAGCTAATATGCAGCAAAAGATCTAGCTAGCTTCAATTCATAATCACATCAACTACAATACATGCAGTCAGTACTACATAGCACTTTGTGCCCAGTGAACTTAATGACCAAATGTAGCAATTATGCTAGTACAATGTATATAAATAGTTTCTTCTATAACTCAAAGTAAAACTAATGTCAGTAATAAAAAACTGTTTTCCTAACACTATAGTGCCCTCTGCCACCCCCATTGCAAATTACAGGGGATCAAAATACAGTTTTTACACTTACCTGATTCCATCACCGAATTGCGCTCTTCCTCCACAGTTGGGGGGGGGGTAACCTGATGACCATGTGCATACCTCCTTCCCCCAATATTTTCTTATGAGGATTTTCTAGACGCTGGACTTCCCGCACAGCAGGAGGACACCCAGCATTGTTTCATAGTGTCAAACTCTGTGAAACTGCAGGGAATGCCTCAAGTGGTTGTCTGGTAGGTAGACACCAGAGTCACTCTTTACACTTTAATGTAAATATTGCAGTTTCATAAAAACTGCAAAGGAACAAGGGCACTGCACCCAGAACACTTTAATGTGATGAAGTGGTCTAAGTATTGGGTGCTTTGTGTGTCCATTTAAGTGTAAACAGACATGTATACCATGACAGATAAGCTGTGAGTAATATTTGCAAACCGGTTATGTGACATATACATCACTCCATACATAAAAATAAAACACATCAGACTGTCAGACAAAATAAACAAACATTTTATTTCATGCAAAATGCAATATCCACCAAAAAGAAAAAAAAGCTAAATGTTTGAAACATAAATGCATGTATAGTAATAATTTTCTGTAACTCTCAAAGTATCCTTGGAAAGGCTTGATGGCACTACAAAGGCAATGCTATAACCTACTCACTGTAACTAAAACTCTACCGACATCTGTTTTGACACTTATTCAGCCACAGCCAAACTTTAGTTTGTAATCTCATTCCAATGTATGAGTGAGTTGGTGTGTTTTGCATTTAGCTCCTTCAAGACAAAGAGTCTGCCAAGTTTCCTTAAAAAAAAAATTAAACACAACTCATATACAAATAAATAGAGAAGACCTGCTCTAACATTCCCTTACCATTGTATGGCACTTGAGGGGAATATAAATGTAATTATGCGGTCCATAGGACCTCTTCATAAAATGTCAGACGATGGCCAGTCCTTGGACTGATTGCTAAACCTAACACACTCACTGTAAAAGCATGAAGGGGAATTTGTTCTACCCTGTAGTACCTTTTGTATCACTTTACCCTACTGCATCTAGAATGTTAGCTCATTTGAGCAGGGCCCTCAACCGTCTCTGTTCCGGTTTTCCAACTCATCTGGTTACAAATACGTGTCTGTTAGTCCACCCGCTGTACAGTGCTGCAGAATTTGTTGCCGCTTTATAAATACTAATAACAAAGTTTATTTATTTTGCCTTTAAAATTGCTGTATAATATGAATTATGCACCACTGTGAATTACGATGGAACATTAGCATTAGTAAGATAATAAAAACAAGCACGTGCATTCTGCATGACAGATGACTATATTTTTTCAACTTCTTTCACATTATTCATGCTGATGAGCAGCATACATGTAGCAAGAAGCATTAAAGGGATAGTCTAACCACCAAAACTACAACATGTGGCCGTAGTAATTCTAAAGCCATTTCTTGGTTCGTTTTGTTGGACCAAAACTGCAAATCACTAAGACTAACACACTCAGCCAGATATTAAATAAACTGATACTTCTAATGTGCACGGGAAACTTCTCATTAGTAATACTTGAGAGAAGGGTCTGGAACCCATTGTTTTGGTTAAACTTGCTCAGTGGCTGAGTAACTGCAGCCTCCTAGCACCATAACTACTGCAGCATACAATAGTTATGTTGATGGCACTATTCCTTTACAGTTACTGAGTGGAAGAAAATATTTAATGGTGACTGAGAATACCGATATAATCCCTCCATGATTAACTGTGCACAGGGTTATTAAATAGTTAATTTTTTTAGTTTTCTCCCCACAGTGAGGCAGGGATTCCACGTGCTGCCAGCTGCGCCCAGGGAAGGCATGCACAGAGCTCACTACCTTCACACTCAGCATGGCTGGCTGCTCTGACAGGGAACCCGAGATAGAACCCGAGCACCAGCAGCCTCACTGCGCTCCTCATCCTGCGGCCAATGCACACTCACTGCCCCACTGCGCACACCTACAGCAACACTAGATTAAGCCACAGAGCGCTACACACTCAAGACAAAGCTGTACTTTCCCGTCCCATTAAATGAGCTCCACTAAATAGTATAGGCGTTATGGTAGCTGCACTGAAAGCAGTGCATTTAAAAAAAAATAAAAAAATAAAAAATTTCTTTAGTGTGTGGCACTCGATGCCGTGACGAGGCAAAATGTTCCTCCTGTGATTGGCTAATAGACCGCAGACGTGGGCGGGGATGTGACGCACTTTCAAAGTTCTGATTGGCTATAGGGTCTCACCATTGTATCTCCTCATTGGCTGCTGAACGGGATCGCATCTGCCAGACACCGGCATGGCGGCGATCGGTGTGCATTTGGGTTGCACGTGTGCCTGTGCAGCTGTATATAAGGTAACGGGGAGCACGGTGGCTGCGATACACCGCGTGTGTTCAATCAGCGCTGCCGGCAAAGCGCTCCTGTGACTGTCTCATAGTGTCCGCTCATTGCACACACAGTCTGCGGGCACAGAATGCTAGCCATTAACCCCTTAAGGACCAAACCGCTGGAATAAGATGGAATCCTGACATGTGTCCTTAATGGGTTAAAACGGCTCCTGTTATTTTATCCGAAATTAAAATGTCCCTCTGTGCTCTGACCCAGTGTCCATAGATCACCATGTAGGATTTAGCTAAATGGCTGAATAAACTGCACTTGTTATAGAATAGGTTGTGCTATGGTGGCAATTTGATATAAATATTGTGCATGTGAATGATGTATAAATGGGGGGGGGAGGGGGTTTGTGGAGTTAAGATACAAATGTATTTGTTTTGTAAAAATAAAAAATAAACCACCACAGCCATGCCATATTATGGACCACATGTTAAACGTTGCTGACATCCTCCTTTGGTTTGAAAACCTTATGATTATGGGCTTTCTTGTTTAATTTGCACTGGCATCTTAATGCTGAGCTGTAGTCACTATTTTTTTTTGGGAAAAAATGATTACAGTAGAATGTTAGTTGAAATCCCACTACAATCAGAAGACTGCACATTTAATTTCTAAAACCCTCACCTAAATAGAAATGGTGAAACTCTTGGAGATTAGAAGCAGAGGTCATCATATGGTCACATTATTAAATCTCAGTGTATGTACAAAGGGCAAAAAGTAAGTAACTGAAACCTAATTCCCTGTACAGCCATGGCTTTCTGAGCCAACCAAGCATTTGTGAGGCCATAGTTTTGGTTCTCTAGAGAGTCGAAATAGGTTCAGTTTTTGTGTGCCATGTGCACACATCGTAAATTCCCTCCTTATATATTACTGGTCCAGGGAGAAGGCTTATAAGAGATTTTGGATAAGGATAAGGTGACAAGAATGTAGTCGAAACCCAGATAATTTGTCAAACTGTTTGCAATCAATATGATTATTTATATTGAGAGTCACAGGGCACTGCTGGTGCTTGGATTGTTCCGTTAAATTCTTGTTTCATAACATGAATGTTTTCCCACTAAGTGTAACCAATATGGCCTCAATGTAATATTGTTGGATAAACATTTTAAATGATTTAATATTATGAAAAATATTTTAATTTTGTATTTTTTTATACTTTAAAAATATATATATATTTCTTTAATTTTTAATATTGTGAAAAAGAAGTTTAAAATGTTATCCAAAATATTAAGTTCAGGCCCATGTTTGACTTCCAAATAAAGTGAAGTTCATGTGGCTTTTATGTTGTTGTACAATCCCTAATAAATTGCAAATATATAATAGATTTATCTGGCATTGTAAAATGACAATTCATATCTTATTTAAAAAAAAAAAAAAATGAAACAAAGAACATGATATGGGCATACCAATACAATACCTCTATTTCTTTACAGGATGGACGAGCAGATGTCATTGCAAATGATGCTGGAGACAGAGTCACACCCGCTGTTGTTGGATTTTTGGAAAAAGAAGTGGTATGTTTCTGCTTTTTTTCTCTGTTGAATTGTCTTTCTGTTGTTTACATTTTGTTTCAAATTAAATATTATTCAATAATCGCCCTCTATAGATGATAGAATGTCATCTGTACATCTTGCAGTCATATATATAGCTATTCATATATTGTATTAAGGGTAGTTGTAAAATAATGAAGCATTGCAGCTTAAAGGAACACTATATAGCATTATGAATACAAACTTGCTATCCTGTTCTAATCACTATTTAGATGTCTGCCCCCTCCTTGCAAGGGTTGGAAAAAAAGTGTATTACTTGCCTTATTTTCCGCTTTGCTCTGGTCTTGCCGCTGCTTCCATTCCTTGGCTGAGATCATCAGTCTTCCTCATAGAGAAGCATTTGGAGGCTAGTGCGCATGCATGGCATATTGCTGTGCTGAGCCAATCAAATGCCCTTGATGAGCAGAATTTGGTTGATTATGGCTGTCGGGAAGAGGTGTGTTAACCCTGCGATGAAAACATTGCTGGATCTACAAAACTGCAGGGTTTTACATTGCAGTGGTAAAAGGACAGGACTACCGCACCCAGACCACTTCATTGTAATGATTTTTTTCTGAGGAGAATCCTATTAGCTCAGCATGGCAATTGTTGGGTATGCACAATACAGTCATAAATACTTCTCTATGGAGCAGCTTTTAACTGGCTGAGATCATCTGTCTAGATGAGCTCCCAAGAAGGAGGCATGAAGGCTGTTGTAAGGCCAGTACAGGCTGGAATAAAGGTCAGTTTAACTTCAATTTCTTCATTTATATGGGGGCCCTACAGTTGAAAATGGACCAGGGACACACTAGCATTATAAATACCTACATGTATTTATAATGTCAGTACTCATGTAGCAAATAGTAAAAACATATACATTGGCACAGAATTCTGAACTGTCAACTTTGTTAATCTGTGAAATGTTCTCACACATGCCCTATTCCATCTGCTCAGTACTGGAATTCATGTAGTTGTTTTTTGCTGATGAAACCTGGATGCAAAGTTCAGGTAAGTATTTGAATTATTTAAAAGACTTTAAAAGGGAGAACACTTTAACCCCTTAAGGACCAAACTTCTGGAATAAAAGGGAATCCTGACATGTCACACATGTCATGTGTCCTTAAGGGGTTAAAGGGACACTATAGTCACCAGTGCAACTACATGTATTCCTGACCCTATAGTGTTAACACCACCATCTAGCTCCCCTGGGCCCCTCATGCCCTTTAAGCTCTACTCCTGTTCAAGTAAGTCGTGGGATATTTCATGTATAAATTTGTAGGTGGTTTTGCTAGCATGATTACATTATTATAGTTACTCAAAGTAGACCTCTGTAGTTGAAAGACCACTTTTAGTATAATTTAATCCGTTGCTATTATTTTCTTTTCCAGATTGTTGGCTTGGCAGCAAAACAAAGCAGAGTAAGAAATGCATCAAACACGATTGTGAAAGTAAAGCAGATTCTCGGAAGGAGGTAAAAACAGTTTAAAAAAGCTGTCAAAGTGCTGTCTATCAATCTGTCTTTACTGTCTCTATTTTTGCTGTATTGCCAATGTGTATTTGGACCTTTGGATGTCTGCCAGTTTTATCCTTATGCATTTGCAACCTCCTTAAAGAGCCGCCCGATGAAACATTCATTGCCGTCTTTGCCTATTATATTGTTAGTTTTTTTTTTCTAATTTTTGCATTTGTTTCATATGAATTTATGGCACCTGGTATTTGTATATGTTTTTCTTTCTCCTCAGCTGGAATATAGATTCGTTTGATGTAATTGTGAGGGTCTAGCTATGGCAGTTTATTGTAAATGTATATTAAAGAAGCGCGTTTCAGTGCTAGGTGCCCACAAATGCACGATGAGGGATAAATACATTCTGAACCCTTGTAGATCCAGTACTGGAGGCATCGTTTGGGGTTAGAGCAAGAAGAGTTTAACCACTTAAGGTAAAAAAGCACCCAGGGGACTCCTAACACCACAGCGACTTAATTTAGGTGAAGTTGTTATGGCGACTGGAGTGTTCCTTTAAGCAATATCGCTTGTGCCCAATGGATACCGGTTAATGTTAAACTGAACAAAGGCTGTTTTATTCCTTACTGTGGGACGGCACAAGATGATTCCTGGAATTATAACCAATACAGCATTCTGAAGTGGTTGTGTTGCTTTTGAGTGTCGCAGTAAAGCACAGCCATGTCAGACATATTGGAATATTCTAATATCTAATGTAGACCATAGGCTGTTACTCATTGTAACTAAACAAAGTTAAGTGTTTTAGCACACATCACAGAGAAAATGTACAGATGCGGGAGTCAGGCATTTGTGTGTGTGTGTATGTGTGTGTTTTTTTTTTTACTTTTACTGGCATCACCCAAAGCTTGTTATGTTTCTACCTTATCTGCATGCAGTGAACACTTACTTGAGTGGGATAAAATGGAACTATCAGAAACAAGTGTTCCTTCCTTTAACTTGAATGCTGAAATTACTTGCATTTATTGTCATATTGTGTATTTTTCAGCCCTGATGACCCACAAGCCAAGAAACACATCTCTGAAAGCAAATGCACAGTAAGCAATTTTGAAACAGAAAATAAAGATCATTATGAGAACACTATTAAATAATCAATACTTGCTTAGTAGTAGTAGGTCTATTGTAGATGTGCCAGGTTTTCTTTGTTCTTCTCGCTACAAAAACATTATGCTTTACAGTAAATATTTGTTTTAACCTTTATTTAGCATTTGAAATGTCGTAAACTGATTAAACAAGCTGGAATCCAATACTCATCACAAAATACAAGCAAATCCTGCTATGATTATATTGATCTCTTTGATGAAAGTTACATATAGTATGTGAGCTTAGATAGAGTAGAATAGTATAGTTTGGTCCAGAGATAATAGTAACGCAAAACCGGCACCTGGTCAGTGTGTCTATCAAGTACCCCAGCAGAAGAAAAAAAATTGACCGGTATTTATTTATTTTTCTCTAGAAAGCAGTCACATACTTTCCAGTCTATTGCAAGTGTGTTAAAACAGTGACTGGTTGGTTTATAGGAATATAAACAAATTTCAATAAAAATCGATTTCTTATTTATTAATAAAACCACATCTACTGGATAGTTGTGCAAATGGGAAAATCCTTCATACATGGAGTGTTGCAAATGGAATAGTTGGTGTTTCGGTATAGTTGATCTTGTTGCATAGTGAAATGCTGTTTGAATCAATAAATATTGTAGATCATTTTATTCAATGACTTGGAGACATGTGAAGGGGCAAGCCAGCTTTTCTTGAATTTACTTTAAAGTCCTGTGTTTTCCTGCCTTTGTTTCCAGGTTATTGAAAAAGGAGGAAAACTCCGATATGAGATCGAGACAGAGGAAGCGGTCAAACTTGTAAGCCCAGAAGATGTTGCCAAGCTAATTTTCAGTAAAATGAAAGGTATGATTAATATGTCTGATTTTGAGCAGTAATATTTGATTGTCTGTTTATGCTTTAACTTGTGTTTTTTGTTTTTGTCTAGAAACTGCACAGTCTGCTATTGGGTCAGATATCAATGATGTAGTTATCACTGTTCCTTTTGATTTTGGAACAAATCAGAAAAAAGCTCTTGGGTAAGAATCATTTTGTTTCTGCTTGAAATACAGTTCTCATTCTGAGCCTCTCAATACTGGTTCCCTTTGTGTACGTTGATAGCTTAATATAGTGATCCAAAGGTAGCCTATTAACCCCTTAAGGACCAAACTTCTGGAATAAAAGGGAATCATGACATGTCACACATGTCATGTGTCCTTAAGGGGTTAATATCATTCTGCTCTATTATTATCTTTAAAAACAGAATTTAAATCATCTTAGAACTATATATGTTTTTAAATATAATCCTCCTTTCATCAAGTTTTGAAAGGAATTTTTTTTTTTTTCATTTTTATAAAGTGAAGTATATTTAAATAAAAATAAATGAGGATAACTCATCCGTACATTTTTAGAATATGACCAGATCCTTCAGCTATATACTGCACATGCACCTTGGGTCAGACAGTGTTTGAAAACTGACAATTGGTATCCATTATTTTTTTGTGCTTCACTTCCTGCACAGAAACAGGGAAGATGAGAGAGCCTAATATTTGGACGCATTCTGTATACTGCTTTCATTAATGCAATAATAAGTGGATTGGCTGCTAAATTAGTAATGGTAAAATTACTGATGCTGTGACCTTTTAAAGGGACACTCCACTGTACAAATACAAAATAAACATAGATGTACTCCAAATGAAAACTTGCATGCTTTTAATTATGCATTTTTTAATTGTGGTAGATCTAAAGCTGCATTTCTGCCTTTGCAATCCCTCCCCTTCTAACCCTGCCCAGACATTCTGTGGCTGTCCAGACTAGAGGGCACTATATAGATTTGTATTCCTAACAATATAGAATCCCTTTAATGCAAACATTTTACATCCTAGGTCCAGCCTGTCCTTCCCTAAGGAACAGTCGCTAAACACAATTGTTAATATTGCCTTTATCTGTATGGGGGTGAAAAAGGCATTCCATTTTTAAATGCACAAACCTGCTTTCTGATCTTGGTAACTGTGCCGCATTGAAGAGGTGATTAAAGCTTTGGTTCTCAGTTGGAAAAGGGACCACACTGAGCCAGAAGTCAAAGTTAGTGTAACTCAGACAAAGAGATGGCAAGCTCTCTAGTATAATTTCTAGTAGTTCAATAGAGTAGGCACAAAACCGCTTTGATTCAGTTGCTCTCAAAACTGGTCAGGATATAATAAAGAATAATATGAAACAAAATACACATCACCTACACTATTCTCTTACTCTCTTAAATACTCATGGATCAGCAAATGGATAATATTAGATAGATCATACATTTTATTAACCAATTAATTAAAATATTGAAGTTTTAAAAATATATTCACAAGTTGTAAAAACACTACCATAAGTGAAGAACTACCTCATATTGGGTATACCATCAATAATACAGTTGATCAAAGTCTTTATTAGCTTGCACCCCTGTAAGGCTATTAAATAAACCATTGAAAAACACCTATAATTTGTGATGTTCTTGTTTTCTTACATTAGAGATGTATCCGATACATCGTGACCCAGGCACAGTCTCAGGGTGCATTGTAAATGAGGAGAAGAAAAAGAAAAATCCATGATTATTCACTAATGCGAGAATTGTCCATTGGAATTAAAAACTAAATTTTCTTATTATCCAAGGCCAAAGTAGCCAACTGGAAGCATAGCTGAGTTGGAGAATGTTTCCAATTTATTTTCAATTCCCAACAATTCTCACTTCAGTGAATAACCCTTTTTTTATTTCTCCTCTTTTCTTTGATTTCTGTATGCTGACTGCCGGTTGCAAAAGAGAGAACTATCACTGACATGGAGCCAAGATGGAGACATCCAGTTTCAAGATGTTGATTTACGTTTAATTTTATTTTTACACCTCACGATGCATATGTTTAAATGTAGGAGTTACGTAAACATAATATGAATGAGAAATGTCCATTTTCCTTTGCATAATTGTTTAAATTCCCATCGGCATCATTTACATTTCCCATTCTAACTGTTAAGTATTCACTGTATCTGATTGCAGGGAAGCAGCAGCTTCTGCAGGGTTTAATATATTGCGTATGGTTCATGAGCCTTCTGCTGCTCTTTTGGCATATGGGATTGGTCAAGATTCACCTGCTGGTAAAAGGTATGTTTTTTTGCTCATTTTCATTTTTGTAGTTGTTTTTTGAGCAGACTGACAAAAACCAAGGGTCTCCCAGCATCTCAAGCCTGGCCTCTGCAGTGCATCATATTGCTGTAGTTCCTACCACCACAAAGCTTGCAGCCTGTCATTTGCATCCAAGGGTGGACAACTTTGGATGGATATTTCTGTTATCAAGTGGAAGATGAGAGGATGGGCTTTAGGTGACAGAAGTGCCCTAGGTTTGGTCAAACAGCTTGTACAGCACCCAACGATTCTCTGGACCACTACCTCTACGAGTTCCTATTTCAGACCTACCATTCTCCATAGAAGCAAGATGTATTTCTAGATTAATAAAATCATTTTGAGAATACTTATCTGTACAAATCTGGTGCTTGTAAAGGTTAAATCAATTCTTGTACCATGTAATAGATTTAGAATGCTCTATTAACCTTATGTACTAATGAATTGTAGGACTTTGGCTCAGTAGTGAAAATGCACAGTAGTGTGTTTTTATTTTTTTATTTTGATACATATTTCACGTCATACTGTAATCTAGCAGCTTCCAAACATTGTGCACAACTAAAAGGTCAGAATTTAATGCTTTTCTCAGTTTCTAAATGGGGCACTCTAAGCAAGATAACCACTACAGTTAAGTATAGTATTTATTTTGCCACAAGTTCTCTGGTACTGTCCATCAGTTTAATAACAAACCATTAGAGTACGGTTTGATGTAAACAAGGGGCTTTTCTCGGTGCTCAGGAAGCACCATCATCTTGACAAATTTTATAATATGGAATTAAAGGGGCACTCTTATGTAACACCAGGACCACACAGCACTCTGTAGTGGTTATTGTGTTTTGTTTCCTTAATTAGATGGAATTCATGTGACAGTCTCCGCCAATAAAATCCATCCTAAAATAGACAAAATTGATGTCAGTAATGCGGAAGTAAGAACTTATTGGGTGACAGCGGTACTGGATTCCTGCCGCCATAACTACTACATTACACTATAATGGTTGAGGTGCTTAGAGTTCCCTTTAATCACTTCTGTGTTATTGGTTTCAGTTTCTTCCATCATGGAAACTAATTCACTCCTCCACTTTCAGCCAGTCCGCGTTTTTCAAGTTTGATACTTTTCTAGGGAACCAAGCCAGGACACAACAGGCAACATAATTACTACAGTGAGCTGTTGTGGTTATGTTGCCTAGAGTGTCCCTTTTTAATAGAACTGTTCAATTGGAGGAACAATAACTAACTTATTTGCTTAGCCCTCTATAATCTACCAAGCTTGCTTAAGAGCATTGCCTGGAAGGGAACATACTGCTTTGCAGATTTAAAGTACTTTAAAGGAACACTAGTGTCAGAAACACAAACGTCTATTCCTGACCCTATAGTGTTAAAAACACTATTTGGCCATTTAGCCTCCCCCTTAAAAACAATAAAAACTCACCTTTATTCCAGCACTGCCAGAGATGCATTGAATCATTGCTGCATGTTGTAAAAGGCAGTATTTACGAAAATGCCTGCCTGCAGGGACAATCTATAGACGCCAGAGCATTAAACTGTAGTTGATCTGGTGACTTTGGTGTCCCTTTAAATGCACTTGACTACTATTCTAAGGATGAACCATTCTGCCTTTTTACAAAGTATGGTCCAAATGTTCCAGTTACATATGTACTTGTTTCTTGTTGCAGCAATGTTTTGGTGTACAAACTGGGAGGAACATCCCTTTCTGTCACTATGATAGAGGTTAATAGCGGGATATATCGTGTTCTTGCTACAAAAACGTATGATGGAATCGGAGGTGTGTGTTTCACTGAGGCGTTGGCGCAGCATCTTGCATCTGAATTTCAACGGTAAGGGATTTAGCCTACATATAAGACTCTGGTAAAGTCAGTCTGTGTGATAGCTAATGAATATGCCTCCAGGAAGCCAATGTGTTATTTTGTAACTTACTTTATCTAAATTCTCAGAGTAAAGTTACCAGAAGTGTATTGCAAGATTAGGACATAATGTTTCAAGAGGGCCAATAGAGACATTCCTCTGGTTTCTATAGTAATGGCTCCAATTTCATAGCCCTGCTTAGTAACATACATCACCATTGTTCAAAACAAGAGTATTTTAAAATTATGTATCACTATAGAGTTGGTCAATACAGAAGGTCAAGTAAAAAAGCATTATATCTATAAATTTAAATTCTTCCTTTTTTCTTTTTATCCCTTTCCCTCAGGTCCTACAAACAGGACATTCGGGGCAATGCACGTGCTATGATGAAGCTGATGAACAGTGCTGATCTAGCAAAGCACACCTTGTCCACATTAGGAAGCTCCAATTGCTTTGTGGACTCTTTGCATGATGGTATAGACTTTGACTGTGCAGTTTCTAGGTGAGTCACATCCCAAAGGCTGGGCAGCCATTGGTACAATGTCTCATGAATATGTGGTTCCCTCTGCATGCATGGTCTTGCGAGATGTTTTGTTAATATACCAGTCTTGCTGAAGGATATCTGAGCTGCACTAGAAGGCCATTTCTTGTAAGACCGCTTTTGCGTCTTTTTGAGCTGCTTTACATTGCCAGATGGTGAGCAAGGGTTTCACTACAAGTACTGTACAAGTGATTAGAAAGCACTTTGATTTAATATTTTTCTGATCATCTGATGATAAGATCTATATTATAACTTGAAAGGTTTCTTCCATCTATATATCTGTAAAGGTGTGTGTGTGTGTGTGTGTGTGTGTATATGTGTATATATATATATATATATATATATATATATATATATATATGTTCTTTTGCTAGTGCATTTGTATCACTGTCAATCTCTTCAAGGCTTACTAGTCATTCAACAAACAAATCCGATTTGGTGCTGAAACAAAATCATAGCTGACTTGGGGAATTTTAACAATTTCGGCTTTAAAGGGATACTATAGGCACCTGAAACACTTCATCTCATTGAATTGGTCTGGGTGCAGTGCCCCTGTTCCCTTAACCCTGCAAGTGAAAATATTCATTTTGCAGGGTTGAGACTGCCTCTGGAGGTGCTGCCTGGCTTTTCATGCAGTTTAACTCCATGAAGCGACACAAAATGTACTTAGAACGTCTAGCGTCTTCAATATTCCCATAGGAACATATGGATTCAATGCTTTCCTATGGAAAAGGAATAAAGGGCGTGTGATGCTCACTGCGCATGTGTGTTAGGTTGCCAGATTACTGTGACGTCGGAGGAGGAGACTGAGCCTGCGCCAAACGACCTTGGTGCTGGAAAGAGGTAAGTGTTTAAAGTTTGTTTTTTATGTTTGTTGTTTTTTTGTTTTGTTTTTTTTAACCTTTTCAACACTGGGGTGGGATAAGTGTTTGTCAGAGAGATGCTATAGTGTTCCTTTAAACTGGAAATTCACTTTATCACTTTAGTATATGTCCCATTAAAGGGTCAATTTAACATCGTAACCACTTGGTCTCCTTGTATAAATTGCATTGCAGCAGCTTATTGTGTCTGCCTCTCTTCATTCAATATTATGTGTTCAATACTATTCAATACAGTAATTGAGAAACTTCTCTGTGGTAATATGCCCATTACCCCACAGTGAATGCACCTGGCCTTTGCAAGATCTTGAATGTCTTCAAAGTGTTTGAGGGACACATTTAGTGGACACATTTAGTTCCAAAACTACTACTTCTTCTTGTAGTGGTTTTTGATCTAAGACCCAGTTTCTACAGTCTGACAAATGTCATACAGTCTCTGAGAAACACAATGTTTACTTTTGCCGGTCACCATACCTCTATGGCTGTAAATAGGATGGTCAGTAGAGGCACTTCCTAGTTAAAGGGTCACTCCAGGCACCCAGACCACTTCTGCCCATTGGAGTGTTCTGGGTGCCAACTCAATTTGTAATTATTGCAGTTTTTATAAATTACAATAATTACCTTGTAGGGTTAAGTCGTCCTCTAGTGGCTATCAGCCAGACACTAGAGGGACCTCCAGATTCTTAAAACCCTGGAAAATGTTTTAAACGAAGCTGGACATCCTCATGCTATGCATGAGGGCCTCCAGTGTCTCCGGAAGTCCCATAGGAAAGCATTAAATAATGCTTTCCTATGGGGAGGTCTAATGTGTGTGGCCATTGCTGCGCATGCGCATTAGGTCTCCCCTGCCGGCTGACTTGTTTCTTGTAGGTAAGTCACTAAAGGGGTATTAACCCCTTCAACAACATGGGGTGGGAGGGAGAGGGGCACTGCAGGAAGCTGCAGTTCCAAGAAAATGGATATGTTTAAGACTTCTAATAACTGAAAGTCTTCATGTTCAGCGTAAACACGACCAGCCTGATGAAGACAAAAGCTGTGCATGCTTTTCATAGAGAAGCATTGTGAAAATTCATCAGATTGGAACCACAAGGCTATTGCCACCCATATGCAGTAGGCCCCTAGTGTTTCTCTATGAGAAGCATTGGATTGTCTCTAGATCATCATTCCTAAACTCCTCATGCTCATTTTTGGTCTGTGCTTACGGTATGCACCTTTGGCAGATCCAGCTCTCTGTACACTTTCCTTCTAGCCTGACACTCCTTTCTCAGTGCTAGCTAAGTAATCGTACTACCAAGTGCAGAATCAGGGGAACGCAGGCAGTGAATTGCACCTGCCTGAGCTTTTTCTACCACTTTGGGTGTAGGGCCAGTCAGATCTTTTCCGCTTGAGTGCCGTGCATGATGCCTTCAGGTGCAAACACTTATTTCTCCTTCTGGTAGGACTGGCTCTGAAGATACATAAATGCAGATTTTAAACCAGAAGTGTTATTTCAAAGAGAAACTATTGGAGAGAAAACTAATATTAATTAAAAATAAATAAATGAAATATATATATATATATTGTGTTTTTTATTTACGTAAATAAAAAGTTCCCATCAGATATGTTATTTAGTTGGTCAGCCCACAGATAGAGGCAGACAGCACTCTAACCAGGAAGAGACCTTAGGAGTATCTCAGTCTGGTCTATGGGGTCCAGTCTGTGGCTCACCTTTGAGAGCCCAGCCCAAATTGTGAATGATTGTTGTGCACGCTCTATGCAAAACCTATACAAAATGAATACCAATTGGAAACTCTGAGGGGACTTGCTTAGAGCAGCAGCAATTTTTACAAATTGCTGCAGTTCTAAGCAACTCTCAGAGCTGAAAACAGTATACTATTGCACCATTAACTTTGTAATTATTTGAAGTTGTGATGGTGCTTAATGATAGCACTTATCCTTTCTGTGTGTCTGCACTTCTCACACACACAATAAATAGTACTTTTATGGTGACTTAAATATGGTTTGACAACTTATGCTGTAATACATTTCCTTTATGTTCAGGGCCCGGTTTGAACTCATCTGCTCTTCACTGTTTACTCAGTGCATTGACCCCATAAAAAGCCTGTTGGAGCAAGTTGGATTCCAGACTACTGATGTGAATCAGGTGAGGGGCATGCAAGTACTGGCTGCTTCTTTTGTTTTTTTTAATAAACTACGTCAGTTTCCTGAAATACCATTGACATACTTCACCAGGTAAAAGAATTTAATGAAAACATTTCACAGAAACAAGTAACCTCATGATTGTCATCTGTTGACAAAAGCACAGACAGATTCTGAATGTCCTGGAATCCTGTTTCCAGTGTCAAAATAGTTTCTTAGAGGGTGTTTGTCACTTTACCTAGAGCTCATGCTCTTTTTAAACAGCATAACAAATTTCTCTGTTCATTGTGCTAGCAAATGTATTGGGAGAAAATCATTTTTAAAAATAGATCATTCTTCCACATGTCGGTCAATTCTTCAGCATGGTATCTATGCAGTATATTGACTGATAAGGGAAAACAGTACAGACCTCGATCAGGTGGTCCTTTTCCTCTCCACATATATGTGCTGTGGTTGCTATGGTAACTACATAGCTAACACTTGCTAGGGAGTAAAGAGAAGAGACTGGTGTCACTCCATTCAGATGCTAGTGGCAAGTGAAAGTTTTGAACTCTGATCTAGAATGTTCCTTTAACTAGGAAGAAGCTGTAAATTGATGAGATTAGAACGTGTTGCCTTTTGTCAGCCTACATTCATTGGCATGCATCTAACTGACATCACTATAGTATGCCATGGTCTCATTGGCTGTAAGCAACTGGAGACAGAAGTACATTTGAACATACGATTTTTCATCATTAGAGATTTTGAAAACCAGCTTAATGAATATATACAACAATTAATGTTTCTCGGCATTAACCAGTTCTGTTTAATTTACTGCCATACAATTTAATGATTGTCATTTGTAGTACTTATCTGTAATCACTATTTACTCTCCTTTTCAGGTAGTTCTGTGTGGTGGTTCAGCTCGAATTCCCAAGCTGCAACAACTCATCAAAGACTTGTTTCCAGAGGTGGAACTTCTCAGCAGCATCCCACCCGATGAGGTTATTCCTATCGGAGCTGCCATACAGGCTGGGATATTACTTGGCAAAGACAACCTGGCCACTGATTTGGACACTATAACCATTGAGTGCGCTGCTAGTAACATATTTGTAAAGGTTTGTGTATACATTGTTAAATAACAATTGCAGTAAGATTGAACAGTATATTTGTACAGATTTCCTTCTTTGTCATGTATTGCCATATAAATTATAAATATTTGATAACGGTACTTTCAGTATAACTGCAAACAAAAATATACAAACTGGATGTGTATGTGTTATAGATCTAGCAAAATGTATATAGCGTATGGTTTTTCTTTGACTGTGTATTGTGGCGTTAGTGCAGCACATTCTCACATAACAGAAATCACATTGCAAATATCAAGTGATCTTTTTGTAAGCTTTGAGGGTGTTTATTTCTACATAAATTATGTATTTGACTTAAGCATATATATATTTTTTTCTTTACAGGAAATAGAAGAGTCTGGGGCAGAGACATTTACGCTTTTGTTGCCATCAGGGACCCCTCTTCCTGCCCGTAGACAGCACACATTACAGGCTCCTGGGAAAATTTCCTCTGTGTGTTTGGAACTGTACGAGTCTTCTGGCATACCCAATGTGGCAGATCCATGTAAATTTGCACAGGTAGATACTATCAATTTCTATGAATATGTAATGTTATATTTAATCTGTAAGACCTATGTTATCAGTTGATAAATCTGGTGAATAGATTTGCAAACTAGATATTTCCTGTTTTTATTTTCCATGCCTAGATCAATTCATACTTATCATATGTCCAAATGTATAAACTGTGCACATGACAAATTTATAATTAAAATAATAATAATGGAATTTCACTTTGAATTAACTGCAATTATCACTTTAGTCAGTAACTTTAAAGGGACATTCCAATGCACAAAATAAATTAAAACCATTTTTTAGTAGATATACCCCAAGTTAAAACTTGCATGCATTTAATTATGCATTTTTTCATTGGAGTTATATGTAAAAACAGCAAAAAATTGAGTTCTCTTGTCTGCTGCCTTTGCTAGCTCTCCTCTTCTAATCCCACCCAGACATTCTGTGGCTGTCCAATCACAGATTTCCCATTGCAGCTCAATGAGAAGTCTTTGCAACTCAGGTGCTCTGGGCAATTGTGTTCAGTGCAACTAAGCTACCCGAACCAGGGAGTTACAGACATGTTGTCTGTTTGAAAGCCAAAGGGGTGTAACCAGTATAATTTATACAAGTTTACATTTCTTTTAAAATCTGCACTATTCAAAAAATGAATAAACACACTCTCTTTACTCTTAAAGCAAGCTAAAGTGGGTTAGTGATCAGGAGTGTCCCTTCAAGGTTCTGTACTCCTCATTGACTGAAGACTATGCCTGGGATAAAGACGAGGGCTTGCAAAGGCTGCAGACAACTGGGCTCCAGCTTTTTGCAAGCTGTTTTTAATGACTCCCGAAAATGGGGGGAAAAAAATACATGTTTTCTATTTCTACTAAATAGTTTAAAAAAAAAAAAAAAAAAATTCAATGGAGTTCCTTTACATGTGCTACAAACCACTTGCAGTCTTGGCTAATAAAGTGTGTGCTTGAACCTTGGCATCATATTGGAATGGTTCAATTTTATTTATTACTGGTGGTTATAAAGCGCCAACATATTCCGCAGCACTGTACAATAAACATATAACACTGCTTCCCATTGGAGCTTTCTTTGTAATTTTGTTTTCCCCATTTATATAAGGGATACTTTGCTCATTAAATACATTTCCTGTTACAGATTGTTTTGAAAGATTTGCAAAAGAAAGCCAGTGGCGTCCATGACATAGTGACTGTGCTTACAATGAAGAGGTAACGTATCGCAAGATTCATTAAATGCTGCAGTAGTCCATGTGGAATTGTCAGTCATTATTCTTAGTCTTAAAATGTTCAAATAAAAAATGTTTGCATTTGATATGTTTTTTGCAGGATTGCTATTTATTTTTTTATTTTTTTTAATATCCTGCATTTCCAGACCGCTTTTAAAATATTTGGCAAAACGGGTTCTACATTGTAGTTTTTCAGTTAGATGCTACCTTTTAACCATTACAGTGTCAAGTGAAGTCATTTATCATAAATAATGAACATGTTTTGTGTATAATAGTGTATGTAAGAGGGCATTCAAATAACCACAGCTACCAATCCTGGAAAACATTCAAAGTAAAATTCAAAGGAGCAATGTTTACAGATACAAAATGTATTAAAAAACATTGATCAAATGCAATACATTCTCAAATATTTTCTCGCTTTGTGAATAGACCTTGTGTTTTGTAGTGTATTATAGATTTGTTTTATAAAACTACAAGTCTTTATTCACTAAGTGGAATAGTGAGTTCATGATTTGAAGTCACAATAGGTGAAATGGAACAATTGTCTATCTCTGCAATTTCTTCAGCTTTTGTAATTTTGACAAAAATGTTTAAAACTTGCTTCTTGAAGAACTCTCTACAGAGCAGAGTTTAATCTATGAAGATATGTTAGAAAACATGACACAGTCTACTGGATATCTGCATATTCCAGCTCGATTTGCCTTTAGTAAATGGAATTGCAAATTTGGTTTAAGTATTCCTGTTACTTGATAACCACTTGCCAGCTAATACATTTTATATATATGTTAACCTTTTGGTGTACCTCCTAGTGGATGGATGTGAATATGTCACACATTAGTTTATTTATGTACTGTGGTAAAGTCATAAAGGTGTTGGCATACAGAGAGTGATGTGACATTTAAAATAAAATTAAATGCATAAAATGAGCTTAAGAGACTTATGTACATAATAGAAAAGTGTGAAATGTATTGTTTTCTTATTTTTACTTTTTTGTTTTTACTCTTTTTAGAGATGGATCATTACACATCACTTGTACTGATAAAGACTCTGGGAAGTCGGAAATGATCACGGTTGAAGAGACTTCTTAGTTTGGGCCTTTTTTCGGATGTGCTGCTTCAGATCACAGCCTGATAGTGCAGTAGTAGGAATTTCAGTTGTCAAATTCTCTTGACAATTCATTTATCAACTTAAACATGACAAGACAAATCACTTGTGACGGCCAACAAAAAAAATAAAGATAATCTTTTTCTCCTCATAGGACACATCTGTGCCTCAAATTTCAAAACCTATTATGGGCATGAGTATTTTTTTGGTGTTAAACTGACAATTCAACATGTTGAAGGACAACTGCAATTTGATGTTTTTATTTCTTTTGTATGCAATAAGTTACATTCTGTAAGGTTTGGAAATAATTCAACAGAAGACTGGAAGTGTCGATTGTATTATATTATGCTTTCACCCATGAACATTGTATGTTAAGTTTTTAGTAAAATCACTTTCTACTACGCTTGCCTACCTGCATCTAACATAATCTCGTTAAAAAAAATTGCACATTTCACACTTATAGAATAAAGAAATCTCCTATTTTGTTTAACATGCACTATGTTAAGTAGTGCTAAAAATAAAAATTTTCTCCTTGTAATTGAAATGTCCGCTAAGTAAGCCAAGTAGATCCTACTATTCTAAATGCTATAAAAAATGGAAAATACTTAGTCAAGACAGTGTATTGACAGACAGATTACTTAATATAGTGCATGTTGGACAAAATAAGAGACTTCTTTACTCGTTTATGAACTTGGGTGTTTTATGTGCTTTAAAGTACTATGGTAATTTATGCTAAGTATTATAAAGATGAATTATGCTACACTTTTAAAGGAAATAATAATGGTTAAGTTTTAATTTGACACACATGTTTCTCAATAATAGGGTTTTATTTGACATCCAAAAGCATTAGATTAAAAGCAAAGATGAGTGGGTAGAGTGATCTATATTGGTAAAATAAAATACATTTTAACAAACCACAGGTAATATAACCCATTAAAGGAACACTGTAGTGTCAGGAATGCAAACATGTATTCCTGGCACTATAGTTCTAATATCACAGTTTTGGTTCCCAGTTCCCCTTGCCTTCAGTTAAAAATCACTTTATTTCCTGCGCCACAAGGGTCTTGTCGTGGCTGGCTCTTCCTCCTTAGCTGAAATCAAAATCTGAATAGGAAAGCATTGGGAGGTTGTTGTGCATGTGTGGCAAAATAATGCACTGCGCCGATCAGCATCTACTCATAGAGATGCACTAAATTGATGCATGTCTACAGTGAAGGTAAAAAAGTATTTGATCCCATGCTGATTTCGAACGTTTGCCCACTGACAAAGAAATGATCAGTCTATAATTTTAATGGTAGGTGTATTTTAACAATGAGAGAAAGAATAACAAAAAGAAAATCCAGAAAAATATATGTCAAAAAAGTTATAAATTGATTTGCATGTCAATGAGTGAAATAAGTAATTGACCCCTTCGACTTAGTACTTGATGTCAAAACCCTTGTTGGCAATCAGAGGTCAGACGCTTTTTGTAGTTGGCCACCAGGTTTGCACACATCTCAGGAGAGATTTTGTCCCACTCATCTTTGCAGCTCCTCGCCAAGTCATTAAGGTTTCGAGGCTGACGTTTGGCAACTCGAACCTTCAGCTCCCTCCACATTTTTACTATGGGATTAAGGTTTGGAAACTGGATAGGCCACTCCAGGACCTTAATGTGCTTCTTCTTGAGCCATTCCTTTGTTGCCTTGGCTGTGTGTTTTGGGTCATTGTCTTGCTGGAATACCCATCCACGTCCCATTTTTAATGCCCTGGCTGAGGGAAGGAGGTTCTCACCCAAGATTTGACGGTACATGGCCCTGTCCATCGTCCCTTTGATGCGGTGCAGTAGTCCTATCCCCATAGCAGAAAAACACCCCCATGTTTGATGGTGGGTATGGTGTTCTTGGTGTCATAGGCAGCATTCCTCCTCCTCCAAACATGGCAAGTTGAGTTGATGCCAAAGAGCTTTATTTTTGGTCTCATCTGACCACAACACTCACCCAGTTCTACTCTGAATCATTCAGATGTTCATTGGCAGACTTTAGACGGGCCTGTACATGTGCTTTCTTGAGCAGGGGGACCAGGTGGACGCTGCAGGATTTCAGTCCTTCACGGTGTAGCGTGTTACCAATTGTTTTCTTGGTAATTATGGTCCCAGCTGCCTTAATATCATTAACAAGATCCTCCCGTGTAGTTCTGGGCTGATTCCTCACCGTTTTTATGAACATTGAAACTCCATAAGGTGAGATCTTGCATGGAGCACCAGACCGAGGGAGACTGACAGTTATTTTGTGTTTTTCATTTGCGAATAATCGCACCAACTGTTGTCACCTTCTCACCAAGCTGCTTGCCGATGGACTTGTAGCCCATTCCAGTCTTGTCCCTGACACCCTTGGACAGCTCTATGGTCTTGGTGGAGAGTTTGAAATCTGATTGCTTCTGTGGACAGGGGTCTTTTATACAGGTAACGAGCTGAGATTAGGAGTACTACAGAAAACTTACTACCACCGTAGAACCAGGGCTGACTGTGTCCCTCCCTCCTACACCAAAGGTAAGAAGTGAGGGGGCGATAAAGATTTTAATAATGTATAGGTAGGATTATAAAAATAAAAAAAACACATTTGCTACCTGCAGCACGCACGCTCACTCCCCACCCACAAACTGCACCCGTCAATGCAGTGTGTATGTGTGTGTGTGCCTATATTCAGCAGTCTGTGTGTATTCAGGTTTAATTGCAGTTCTGGCACTTTGAGGAAAAAAAGTTGGCATGTATTGCGGTTTGGGCACTTGGGCTCAAAAAGGTTTGCCATCGCTGCTCTAGGCTGCATAATGTATTCTTGGTAAAACACTATTATATCATAACTGGTACTGACTGATAATGCCCAAAAAATCCACATCAGATGAATGATTTCTATGAAAATGATTCAGGGAAAAAATTGTTTTATTTAATGTGAACTAATACTTTCCTAGTTTACTTTAATGGCAATTATTTAAGTTTATACTTAATAAATGTTTTACCTCCGTCATCGACCACACAAATCCTTCCCCTGCATTGGTGTGCTTCATATAAATATGTATAATTGATAAATACTAATTCTTAATTGTGTTTAAACTGGGAAAATTAGAATCCAGCTATAAATCTGAAGAAAAAATTATACTTAAGTAAAATGTAGGCAAACATTTGAATCCGTCCATCTCGGTGCCTGAGAAGCTTGTGGACATGTGGAAAAGTCTGAACGGAATATATCATTCATCTCTGTGTTAATTCAAATTTAATGTCAAAACAGCCAATCTGGAAAAATGCTTTACGTAAATTCAAAGTCGATTCAGGCTACTTTAGGAAATAATCTTTCAGAATATAAAAAAAAAAAAAAAAGCAAGGTGGGAGTAGAGACCGTTCCTTCTGTTATGGATTAGTTAAACTGCCGGCAAACCGCAGTAATGCCACAGTAATGTAAATTCTTCTAATATAGAATTCTAAGTGGAAATGCTGAGTAGACCACTTTAGTAGCTTGTACCACAGAATTGGGCGAGTGAGTGAATGACTTTGAGCTAGTTGGCCTTGTCCATTCAAAGAGACACTACAGGCAACCAGACCACTTTATCTCAATGAAGCGGTCTGGATGCAAAGCCCCTGTTATTTTAACCCTGCAACTGAAAACATTGCCGTTTTGCAGGAATGGCAATGTTTCTATTGCAGGGTTAACATGCCTGCAGTGCAGTGGTTGGTTTTCAAACTAGACATCGAGGCGGCATGCCCACCAGTCTAGGATTTAGGGATTACCCAGCTGTGTCTGTTTTTGTTTTTCTCATAAAGAAAAGAAACACCTTGACACAACTGGGTAATCCCTAAATCCTGGACTGGTAGGTTTGCCGCCTTGAGTACTGATTCGGAAACCATTGCTTTAATCTCTCTTTGCACTGTTTGAGCTACTCACAGATTCTGCAAACATTTCATTAGGCATGTGCATGGGGAAAATTTTCGGTTCGGCATTCTGAAATTCGGCATTTCGGGACTTCTCTTGCAGCCACTTAGTAGATAACTCCCTAATTCCACAGTATTTGGGAGTTATCTACCAAAAGGCTGAAAGACCAACTTAGGTTGAAAATTACTTAGTATTAGTAAATTTTGCCCCTACTCGATATACCGCGAGTAGAGGCATGTCTATTAAACAGTGAGCAGCCTGTGCTCGGGTGGGGGCCAGGACATTAGGTCCCCCCCTTATTAGTATTTAGGGCCCCCACCCACTGCTCAGGGATGGGAGCCAGGGGGAGGACATTAGGTGTCCCCTCCCCTATTCTGATCTAGGGCCCCCACCCGCTGCTCAGGGGTGGGGGCCGGGGGGGTATAGATCCCCCCTTTAGTTGGTAGGGGGACCCTTTTTTTTTTTTTTTAAAACAGTGAGCAGCCACGGGCTGCTCACTGTTTAATAGACATGCCCCTACTCGCAGTATAGTGAGTAGGGGCATAATTTACTAATGCGAAGTAATGTTTACTCAGTATTAATAAATTTGGCTGAAAGATGATTGTTGTAAGTGTTGCAAAGGCTTACAGCTGAATCCTGGCTATGTTTGTATACTTTTTATTTAAAATTGTATACAGTGTAACATTCTTCATTCTTCCACTGGGTACGTATATTAGTTCTTAGGCAATACTGTGGTTCGACACTTCGGAAATTCGGTAATTTCGGAACTTTGACAATTCAACAATTCATCTATTCGGAAGTACCCTAATGTCCGAATTTCCCGAAATTCGTCCGAATTCACATTCGGACCGAAACGAATTGCACAAAAGTCTACGTTTCATATCACAAAGTAAATTGAGCAAAATCTCAAGCACTATGGGTATGCCTAACAGAGGCTATATTAGGGAAGTGACACTCCTCTAGGAACTCATTTAATTGGAAAACGGAAGCTATACACTATCTAGGAATAGACTTTTTCACTGACATATCAACTATCTTTGTATGTACCTTATCAATGGTTTGGAAGTCCATTTACCAATCCCTATCAGAATGAAAGCATTATGGAATTTCATTGGTGGGTCGTTGTGCAACTATTAAAGGGACATTTTAGGGATCACAAGGCACCATAACAACTTAATCTAAATTAAGTTGTGTTGGTGCGAGGAGACCCCTGGGTGCATTCTTACCTTCAGGGGTTAAATCATTTTCTAACGGTTTAACCCAGAAGTTGCCTCCAGCACCAATCTCAACTCACCGCAGCAGCATCTGGCTTCTGAAATTTCACATGCAGGAAGTGCAGAGTACTGCTATGCAGGGTCGCTGTTGATTGGCTCAGAGAGGTCAGAAGAAGTTTTCAGCCAATCTGTAACTCCCCATTCACAGAGCTGGCAGGGGAGGTCACAGGATCTCTCCTGCCGGTCTATGGAGGGCCGGCACTATCCGAGCGCAGGCCCCGCTGTTTGCCATGGAGGGCCGGTGGGGAGATCAAAGCTCTCCCTTACCGGCCCATTTAAACAGACCTGCGGCTGGGGAGGGAGGGAGGGAGAGGACCCGGCGGAGCTCTATCTTGCGGCTCCGCCGGGTTCCTCTCGCGAGATCCGGCTTGTTGCCATGGCAACGCCCCAATCTCGCGAGAGTGAACTCTAGCCCTCAGGCTAGAGTTCACTCACCACTGGACCACCAGGGATGATGAACGAGTGCTGGTCCCCCCCCTCCCAGGCTAAAGGTAAGAGGGAGGGGGGGATATAATGCCTACTTAGTTTTTTTTAATTTCTTTATTTACCCCCCCCAACACACATCACACACAGCACTCTCACACACAGCACTCTCACACAAATCACGCACAGCACTCTCACACACATCACACACTGCACTCTCACACACATCACACACAGCACTCTCACACACATCACACACACACTGCACTCACACACATCACACACTGCACTCTCACACACATCACTCACAGCACTCTCACACACATCACACACTGCACTCTCACACACATCACACACTGCACTCTCACACACATCACACACTGCACTCTCACACACATCATACACAGCACTCTCACACACATCACACACTGCACTCTCACACACACAGCACTCTCACACTACACTCATCACACTCTGCACTCTCACACACAGCACTCTCACACACAGCATACACAGCACTCTCACACACATCACACACAGCACTCTCACACACATCACACTCTGCACATCACACTCTGCACTCTCACACAGATCACACTCAGCACTCTCACACATAACACACACAACACTCTCACACATAACACACACAACACTCTCACACTCAGCACTCTCTCACACAACACTCTCACACACAGCACTCTCAAACACATAACACTCAGCACTCACACACATCATACACAGCACTATCACACTCAGCACTCACAACACTCTCACACACAGCACCCTCACACAAATCAATCACATACAGCACCCACAAATACAGCACCCTCACACAGCACCCACACCTCACACACAGGATCCATCACACACATACTGCACCCCTCACATACACACACAACCCCCCGATACACTGCATCACACACATACACAATACTTCCAAACATATTTATATAATATATATACACATATAAATATACACACAGCACCCTTCACACACACACACAGCACCCCTAAACACATTTCATTCCAGACACACACTAGATCCTCTACCCAACTCTGGATCATCTACACACATACACACATACACACACTAGATCCCTATATACACTCTGAATCCATTATATACGCACGCTCACTAGATCTCCTATACATATTCTGGGTCCTTCAAACACACACACACTCTGGATCCCCTATACGCACATTAGATTCCTTGTAAGCAAACACATACTACATTCCCTGAACACACACTCTCTACAAACACTACATCACCTATATATATATATATATATATATACACACACACACACACACACTATAGCCTGTATACACACACTTGCTACATCCCCCAAACACACATTCTCTAAAGCCCCATAGCCACATATGCATTACATTACACCACAAACACAACACAACGAAAACCGAACTTATTACACAATACCACACCACGACCAGCTCACTCTGCACACACGCAATACCCTAAGCAGGCTCCAAACACATGCACTATACTCTTTCCTGGCCCTTTTGTCTCCTGGTATCCATTTATAGAGACACCAGAGACAAGTTGCAAGGAAACACAGTGCAAGCATGTTATTAAATTTGCTTGCACTGCGCAGAACAAATACAGGGCTTTTTTCTCATGCTAGAGCTCTTCAGCAGAGCTCTGTGCATGGTCTGCCCTGGAAGAGCATTGAACCAACATGCTCATTTTGAGAGGGGGCGTGTTTGTCATGAGTGATGACAAAACACACCCTCTCTGCCCCGCCCCCTTCTTAGTGGGCCGCTGTAATAAAAAATGCCCGGGCCGAATTTTTTTCCCAGTCCGGCCCTGGTTGAAGATATACTGAAGATAACTTTACTATTATTACAACCACCTGGCACATACAAATGGGTATGCATGGAGGACAGATGATTAATCCTCGGCGACTAGCTCACCACCTATGGTCCGGGGCCCCATTACAACTGAGAAGTCTGCTTAGCTCCACTAAGCACTTATTATTGTATAAATATGCCAACAACAACCCCTGCATTAGGCAACTATACTTGCAGTGGGCAAGAAATTCCCCATAGGGACTTTTATAAAATCCTACAAGTAAGGTATTTTGACATCTACACTGAAAGGACATGGGGTAGATAGAAGTAGGCTATTGTCATTAGAACAGTCGGTACATAAATTCCCCCCAAAAAAGTTATCATCTCTAAGTGCTATAACGCAATTTTGGAAGCAGGTTATTATACCCACCCCCCACCACCACCACATATAGATAAGCATGGGAGGTAGATGTAGGTTGTAAATTCAGACATGGAATGGGCAAAGGTTATGGAACAGTCTCAACCCCTTACGAGGTGTAGGTAATTTTTTTTTTTTGCTATATGACCCCTTAAGACTTTTATGTATCTTCCCAGGTTCAGCTGTTGGAGGAAATGTGGCCACACAGGAAATATAGCCCATGTTTGGTGGGATTGTTCGACTTTGACCCAGGCATGGAGGGAGTTCTTCAGTTTGGTTTTAAATGGTAAGGGCACTGAACCTCCTTTCACACTGGAAATAGAACTTTAATGCATATACCCTGACACTATGCAGGCAAAGCTCACCAAATTGGTGACAATCATATTCCTAGTATTTAAAATTCTAGTTGTCAGACAATGGAAACAAGTAAATCCACCAACTCATGTCAGGTGACCACACTTCTGAGAAATCTAAAAAGTGGGCTTATTTAACATGAGACTCATTGGAAACATTTAATAAAACATGGGAGCCATATCTTAACATGCCAATAACACACTAGACTAGAACAAGGGAAAGGGTACATAGAGAAGAGTATGTCAAAAGGGAATGTAATTAGGAAGGGTCAAATATTCACCATTCTGTTAAACAACTGTCTGGGTATTTTCTCTCTTTTTAGTTTTCCTTCTTTTTGCCATGGTTTGGTTTATAAAGGTTTTCTCTTTGTAGATTTCTCAATATATATATAATAAATGTACAGGTGGAGAAGGCAATTGTTGATCCTGCCTGCTGGCAGATATATTCTGTCATTTCTTTCTATAAGTTGTAATTAATTATTCTAACTAGCTTGTATGTTAGGAACTGTACAATGTGTGAAGATGTAACCATGGAGACTGTATACACTTATCATATTGTACATCTGTGTATGGCAGAAAATAATACATTGTAAACAAACAAACACCATTCTAAATTGAAATTCTCACATTACTGCATACACCTGTTAATGTTACAAAACCTTATTATTATTATTTTTAATTAAAAGTAATTGGCCATGCTGGGAGTGCAGTCCAGCAGTTAGTTAGATGATAGTCCAGCTGCCCACAGTGCACTAGCTGAGCTGCCATTAAGGCTGTGTGGCTGGGTTTGCTGGATAGTTCAGTGAATGAAGCCCGTGTTGTGTGAGCTCTGAGCAGGAAGCCATCTTGGCGGCAAACCAGCCCAGTCCCCGCTAACCGCTCGACACTTCGAATGCTGCGTCGCCGTGACGTCATTTTCCGCTTCCTATCTGCCAGACTCTCACGGGTTAACGCCTTAGAGTTCTAAACACTTGGAGGCACTGACTCTGCAGATGGGCGGTGTTACTAAAGAACATTCTCCAGCATAGAGCGCGCAGCACGGGGGTGCAGGGGAAGCGGGTTATTGGGGAATAGACCAGAATCTGTCACAGTCTAGACCCGGTAACAGGGGGATGCAGTGTTCACAGTGCCGAGTCTCTAGTGTTTAATACATTGCTACGCAGGGCAGCTAGTGGGCGTGGCTTGTGTTGAGTTTGGCGCCGCTGTGACGTTCACACGGAGATTTGAGTGGCATGGGAGAAAATGGCGGCACGTGGAGGTAAGTCTCTCGCCTTATGGGAGTCTGGGCTGGCGGGCTCAGTCTGATGACACAAAGCGTATAGTGTGTCCACACTGAATAACCAGCACTGTGTGTATTGTATTATATTATATACAGCATGGACTGTACTGACATAATATATAATATTATATACACTGACTACTGACTGTATTTACTAATCTATATTATGTGGAGCATGGAGTGCTATAAATAATACACGCCATACTGAATATATATATGTTTGTGTGTGTGTGTCATACAGAGCGTGCAGTACTTATTGTATATATCTATATAATACATTGATATAATCTGTTCAATCCTTGGGGGTTGAAGGTATAATTCCTGGCAGAGTTGACTCAGCCCTTCATTTTTCCGATGTAGATGAGTACCACTGAAGTGGGTAACAGTAACATCCCCTGGATGTCATCCCCAGTATGTACTTGGAAACCAGAGTAATCTAAATGTACCTTTCCTGGTTCAATATTTTGTTGTTGCTATTATTTTTAGTAGTAGTAGTATTGCCATTTATATAGCGCCAACAGATTCCGTAGCGCTTTACAATATTATGAGGGGGGGATTTAACTATAAATAGGACAATTACAAAAAACTTACAGGAACGATAGGTTGAAGAGGACCCTGCTCAAACAAGCTTACAGTCTGTAGGAGGTGGGGTATAAAACACATTAGGACAGGATAACGCATGTAGTACTGGCTGTAAATTTATATAGGGTGGCCTAAAAGTAGCTATACAGTAAAGAAAAATTATTTTATCTGCCCTTCACTATCCTTTCCATCTGCCACACTGATATTTAAATACCTACATTTTACAGTAACTTTGTGTGTGTGTATGTGTACCCATATAATCTAATGTATTGATTCAACTGTATCCTAGCTTTTGGGCCACCCTGTATATATCATACACCGCAAATAGTACAGACTGTATGTACATATATCATGCAGTACTGACTACATATCTATCTAATACACGGCATGCAGTATTGACTGCATGTATATCATGCATAGCAAGAAGACCTGATTGTGTTGTCTCTTGCTATCTTAAAAGGTCCACTCTCCTGGTTCTAATACTTTCCCATGTTGTCAGTTGGTTGCAATTCCCCACTCTGTACTTCCTACTGTGTTTCCCTTCAGGCATTCTCATGCCAACACTGTCCTTTCAAAGAAAAGGCCGTGTTTACATTGCCCTCTAGGTACACCTCATAGCACTGGTTCAATGTATCTCTATACGGAATCCTTCTTCTAAGGTGTGTGAAAGCCACCTAAATGGTGGTGGTTTTAACACTCTAGGGCAGTGGTTCCCAAACTTTTTATGTTCAAGGCACCCTTAATATTTCAGTATTTTTCCAAGGCACCCCAAGTCAAAATGTCTAGGTTGTATATCTGTACAGCGCTGCCGCATTTACTGGCACTATAGTGTAATGTACAGTGTTGGTGTTTGAAGGGGTGCTTGTAAACATTTATTGTGTTTTAATGCAGGGGTGTGTCTGAATGTAATGTTCACTTTTACATGTGGATGTACATTTGTGTGACGTATTTGTGTTTGTATGTAATATGTTAGATTACAGGGGTGTTTGTATGTTGTGCTGGTGTTTGACTGCTTGGATGTATGCGCATGCATACATACACAGATATTCATGCACATTAACACAGATGCATATAAATACACCGACACATACACACCCACACATGCACCCTGACACACAAACGTTGATACATGCCCACACCACAGATACACACTAACATAAAAACATACACAGATGTGCGCACGCGCACAGAAGCAAACTGATTATATATAATTAGCCCTTGCACTCCAACTCAAAAAAACAATGATACCCGGTGCTCTGGTAGCTAAGCACTATATACAAAAAAATACCGGCACTCCGAGGATTTCCAGAATATAATCATCTTTATTCTAAATGACATCAACGTTTCAGCTCCCTTACAGAGCTTTCAACAGGATACACAAACTACATTAAAATGAAACAAGCTTATATAGGACATGTAATACAAATTAAATTAAAGGGTACTCACTTACAGGTGATCCTCATTTCCGTTTGCCGCCGGGTTCGCCGACCTGCTCACATTTACTTCCGGGTTCCAGGTTGTATATCCGAGCCCACCAAGTAGTGTGTTCCATCAGACTAGTCGTCACACGTCGCTGGGGCAACCATAGACGCTCATGTTTCTTTGGCTGCTCCCGTGTGTCCAGGCGCCGATTTGAGTCAAACACATATATATATATATAATAATCTCCAGCCACCCTCCTATTAGCTTACCTTATGTGCCAGGAGGGTGGCTTGGAGTCCTGTTGCTGTGGGAGTGAGGGGTCTCAAGCTCTCCATGTTCCTCTCCCCTCACACTGCGGCTGCCTCCTCTCCCTGCAGGATGCTGGGAGGAAGTGACAGGCTGTCACTTCCAGCCAGCCGACATTACAGGGTCACGGTCTTAAAGGACCGCAGCACTCGACTGGGTCCCTGTTGAGCAGTAATGTTTCCCCTGTGTGCACATCCGCTGCTATTGGGTAAGGAAAAAGTTTGTGTTCCTGACCCTATCGTGTTCGTTTAATTCTGAGGGTCTACCATTACAGTCTTCTTTTATTAATTTGTATTTTTCTCTACAGCTTGGTGTGTGCCATGCCTCGCTTCCCAGGAAACACTCCAGGAGATGTGCAGGAAAGAAAAACTAATCTGCAAATGTATTGGGATAACCAAAAGGAATCTAAACAGTTATGAAGTGGAGTATCTATGTGACTACAAAATAAAAAAGGTGAGCTGTGCCATTATCATTTAAAAAAAAAAAAAATAATAATAAAAAAAATATATATATATATATATATATATATATATATATATATATACAGAATCCAGCGCACTCGCTTATTCACTAAACAATGCTTTCAAAATCTTAGAGATTGTAATAGTTTTATTTAAAAACACCTTACCTAGGCAAAAAATAATGGGGGTTTAGTTACATTATATGATCATATATTGCATAAGCCTGCCACAACGCCAATGTACCCCATTCTTGGCAGGTCCTACTCTAGCAGCCTAATGCTTGCCCTTATGAGATTAATCCACTTACTTGGGAAATACTTCCTTACTGGGACTCTCTGCAAGTCAAGGCTAAATAGGGTCCTGGAATGAGGCACCTGTGACAGGGAGGGGTGCAAGACCAAGGAGCTGGCCTGGACTCCCAAATATACAAACAAAACCAAGCATTAGGCTGCTAGAGTAGGACCTGCCAAGAATGGGGTACATTGACGTTGTGGCAGGCTTATGCAATATATGATCATATAATGTAACTAAACCCCCATTATTTTTTGCCTAGGTAAGGTGTTTTTAAATAAAACTATTACAATCTCTAAGATTTTGAAAGCATTGTTTAGTGAATAAGCGAGTGCGCTGGATTCTGTATTTTATATATTTTGGCCCCAGCAGCACCCTGTAATGTATGCATGTTTAGGTGAGTGCAGCCCTCTTGGTTTTGTTTGTATATTTGGGAGTCCAGGCCAGCTCCTTGGTCTTGCACCCCTCCCTGTCACAGGTGCCTCATTCCAGGACCCTATTTAGCCTTGACTTGCAGAGAGTCCCAGTAAGGAAGTATTTCCCAAGTAAGTGGATTAATCTCATAAGGGCAAGCATTAGGCTGCTAGAGTAGGACCTGCCAAGAATGGGGTACATTGACGTTGTGGCAGGCTTATGCAATATATGATCATATAATGTAACTAAACCCCCATTATTTTTTGCCTAGGTAAGGTGTTTTTAAATAAAACTATTACAATCTCTAAGATTTTGAAAGCATTGTTTAGTGAATAAGCGAGTGCGCTGGATTCTGTATTTTATATATTTTGGCCCCAGCAGCACCCTGTAATGTATGCATGTTTAGGTGAGTGCAGCCCTCTTGGTATGTGTGTGTGTATATATATATATATATATATATATATATATATATATATATATATATATATATATATATATATATATATATATATATATATATATAAAATTTTATTTTATTTTTTCCTGTGTTGCACAAATGAATTGGGTGACAGAAATAACTGGTGTTTATGAGAGGCTGCAGGTAAATTTAATGGATACGGTGCTTTAAAAAGGGACTTTCGGTTTACTGTTTCTTTTTTTTTTTTTTTTTTTTTTTTTTTTTTTTTTTTTTTTTTTTTTTTTTTATATTTTTGCCTAAAATTGTTGTAGAAGCCTTTAAAATTATTTAAAGGGACACTATAGTCACCTGAACAACTTTAGCTTAATGAAGCAGTTTGAGTGTATAGAACATGCAGCTGCAGCCTCACTGCTCAATCCTCTGCCATTTAGGAGTTAAATCCCTTTGTTTATGAACCCTAGTCACACCTCCCTGCACGTGACTTGCACAGCCTTCCATGAACACTTCCTGTAAAGAGAGCCCTATTTAGGCTTTCTTTATCGCAAGTTCTGTTTAATTAAGATTTTCTTATCCCCTGCTATGTTAATAGCTTGCTAGACCCTGCAAGAGCCTCCTGTATGTGATTAAACTTCAATTTAGAGATTGAGATACAATTATTTAAGGTAAATTACATCTGTTTGAAAGTGAAACCAGGTTTTTTTTTTTTTTGTTGTTTTTTTTTTTTTCATGCAGGCTCTGTCAATCATAGCCAGTGGAGGTGTGGCTAGGGCTGCATAAACAGAAACAAAGTGATTTAACTCCTAAAAGACAGTGAATTGAGCAGTGAAATTGCAGGGGAATGATCTATACACTAAAACTGCTTTATTTAGCTATAGTAATTTAGGTGACTATAGTGTTCCTTTAATATTCTGAAAAATAAATATTTTGATATGTTTTTGTTACATATATGCATTTTTGATATAAATATTTTTTTTAAATGTTTTTATGTTTGTCCAAAAGTATTAAATCATTTGAAAAGCTTATCCAATAATATTATATTGAGCCCAGTGTTATTCTGTATATTTAGAAGATATGTTATACAAGTTTTGAAAGTTAATGTTGAAATCCACACTTAACCCTAGAACTATCCTTTGCTCCTTGTCAACCATCATTATAAATGTTGCTTTTTCGGCCATTTAGTAGAGTTGGTGGAAGAGGAGAAACTGATGTTTCTATTCTACTCCTTACTTGTACTGTGTGCTTTTGCTTTGGAACTGAAGTTAATTGTGATGTTGCTAGCCAAATTGTTAATAAACATTTTAAAAGTACAGAGCATCACATGGAAAAGGTTTTATACAACAGGTGACTTTTAATGTTTTATTATATAGTATAATTTCCAGAAAAGTGACAGTTCTGCTTTAAAACTTGCTGTGGCCAGATCCAGAACAAAAAAAACCCAAAACATAGTTGTAACTCTACGTATTGCATTTCTTATCACAATTAGTTCCAAATTCGTTAAATTTGTGCAAATACATTAGTGCTACTAGGTAGGACATGTTGTTCTATTATATCCTTGGTAAATGTATTACTTTAAGAGACAACACAGTGAAAAATCATTTTTTTTTTAAATGGGAGACTTTTATGATCTGTATTTGAATATATGAAGTTTTATCACGTTAATGACTCTGTGTGAAATAAGCTTATGTGACTTTTATTAAGATGCATATTAGCTCACAAGAGATGAGACTGGTAAAGTATCATGAGATTTGTAAATCTGAAACCGATCAGGATCTTTTTGCTACCTGCTTTTAATGATTTAGGTAGCTGTTCTGTTTTATATAAAGTACACTAGTTTCTCTGGGGGAGCACATTGAAAAACCTGTGAGAAAAAACAAATACATTTTTATTTTGGAATTTTCTGTAATGTTGCAACAACCAGCCATTAACATTAAATCTTACTTTATTTAAAGGGTAAAGAATATTTCCTGGTGAAATGGAAGGGATGGCCGGAGTCCTGTAATACGTGGGAACCCAAAGATAACTTAAAATGCCCTGCAATTCTGAAGCAATTTCACACAGATCTCTATAAGTACTTGTCTCAACTTCAGTTTAATAACAGAGGAGTGGTAAAAGACAGTATTAAATTTTTGGATCCTACTGTTTCAGACTACATAGTCAAAAAGGCTAAGCAACGAATTGCACTCAGACGCTGGGAAGAAGAGCTGAACAGGAAAAAGAACCATAATGGAATGATTTATGTGGAAAATATAGTGGATTTAGAGGGCCCTCCTGTAGACTTCTACTACATTAACGATTACAAGGCCTCTCCAGGTGTTATTACTTTGGGCGAAGCCATTGTTGGTTGTGAATGCACGGATTGCTTTACAGGTAAATGTTGTCCCACAGAAGCAGGGGTTGAGTTTGCCTATAATGAACAAAAACAAATTAAAATCCCGCCTGGAAGACCTATTTATGAATGCAATTCAAGATGCAAATGTGGCCCAGATTGTCCTAATCGGGTAGTGCAGAAAGGTCCACCGTACTCTTTATGCATCTTTAGGACACACAATGGTCGTGGATGGGGAGTGCAGACACTCCAGAAGATCAAGAAGAACAGCTTTGTGATGGAATATGTTGGTGAAGTATGTATTATTAAATAGAAGTTGTTCTTTTGTAAGGTATTTGTGCTCCAGTTAAGTTGTTTTGGCTTATTTCAATTTTAAGGACATGCTTTATTCATTGAGCTAAATTGACCTCATTAGGGAGTTATAACATGTTCACCCTTAAAGCTGCTTTAATACGCCATACGTACTTTTCTTAAAGTGATTCCTCTTGTCCCACTCTCTCAAAATCTGGTCTTCGTTTCTGATCTCACGTAAAATACGTAAGGCAAAGTAAGAACTACTTTTGTCTTCTGTATTTTTCCTTCCCTTGAGAAAGGGTGGAGTTTAAGGCAAGCTCCACTTCTTTGTCAAGTTCTGTTTTTCCACAATGTTCACATGCTTGTTGTGTCCTGCGCTCGTATTCTCAGATTTCTACTCTTTGCTTCCCTGAACTTATTACATGCCAAGTACAAACTTCTTGGCTTCCTTCTGTTGGGCATGCATTGTTCGTGGTGCAAAGTGTGTGCAGATAAAGACAAGGAAAACCATCCCTTCCTGGTTCCTGAAAAAAGTGGCGCATTAAAAAAGGTCCAGTGCGGTTACTATGGGTAGGAAGGAAAGATGAAAATGGGGAACAAAAGTTAAGACACACATTATGGGTCACAAAGGGCTAGGACAGGGGTAGGCAATCTTTTAGCAGCACTGTGCCGATATAGGAGTGTGATGTCCCGTAGCGTGCCGATCCTATTTTTTTTAAAAAAATTTAAATTGAGGTGTGTATGCTGCCGTATTCTGCTTATTTTTTACCGTATAGGAGCTATTATATTGTATATGTTCATTAGTAGTTTATGGTATCGTGTATGAAACATATGAATGTGGGGTGTGGATGGATATGTCACATTGTGTGTGGGGGCTGTTTGGGGTATTACATGTGAGAGGCTGCATGTGGGGTTGTGTGCATGTATGTGGATTGTGTGTATGTTTGTGGCCTGTTCGTATTATTTGTATGAGGGGAGGGTTATTCTGCATTTCTGTGTATATCTAGCAGTGTGGGTGGGTTCCCTGGTACAGGTCAAGGACAGGAGCTGCAACAGCAGCTGCAGGGTGCTCTACTACAGATCTGAGATCACTTCCTCTACATGCTGCAATGCATACGTTGAGGATTGTCCTTCACCATCTTTTCGTTTTAGCAGATATCTGAAGTTTCACTGGGACTCCTGTTTGGCTCTAGCAGCCTTGAGTGCCGTGCAAAGACACCTCGAGTGCCGTAGGTTGCCTACCTCTGGGCTAGGAGATTGGGGAGGGGGGGTCATAAAAGTGCCAGGGCATGACAGAGCTACTTTAATTGCTGAAATGTGGAGTAAAGGACATTGATTTGTAGCTCAGTGGTTCTTAACAAGTGTTCAGACCTAAGGATTAGTTTCCATGTAATTTAATTTTTTATTGTAATAAGCAGATTGATCATCAATAACAACATATATCACATTTTGTTTACTATAAGTCTGCAATACATCCTAGGGGATTTGACCACTCAAGAGGCAGTCCTCTTGGCCTTCACAAAGGGTATCTGTGAGGACCAAAGCCTCCTAAGCAGGTGAGATACTTCTGGGTAAGGCACACACTTTGGTGTTCCTTGAATTCTAAAGTTCTGTTTGATGCATGTCCTCCATTCATGCAATTTTTGCTTCAAACTGTTGCTGTCTTAATTTAAGCTGCTCCAGATCAACAGACATGTCTTGGTAGGTTTACCTAAATCCCTGTATTTTGCACACCAACGCAGTCACAACCTCTCTCATGGATATCTGCAGAAAACAGTGTCTGTATATCTTTTTGTAGCACCTTAATGTCCACTTTGCACACTAAAAAGTGGCTATCCTAAGCAGGGGTGCCTAAATGGGTTGTTATTTTGCAGCAGTAAATCGGCTAGGTTGTCTGGAACACTTTCCTCTGCAGATATTAGAAAGAGGGCTTACCCGCTGGCAATATCTTGACTGAATGAGTCAGGTGGATTAGGTCCCAAGTACATAAGGATAGGACTCGCCAGTTCTGCTCCTTTGGTGTGTCTCCGATTGACCGCCCTTTTCAGAAACTGGGGGAGCAGGTCTTGAATATGCTGGGACTTAGAATGCTAGTCGCTGTGTTCGTTTTGCGCCCCATTCCAAAAAGAGGGGATAATATTGTCCCCAAACCAGTGGCAGAAAGTGAATAGAATAAAGCATATAAACATATTCTCCCTGGAGCACCATATTCATCAGGCCCCAGGCAACTATCTGTAATAAACTTTACTGCAGCAGAATTGCCTTTCCAAAAGGAGTGGAGCACCAATGATACGGGGATAAGTCTAATCAGGATGTTCTACAAAATGAATTATTTAATCTTCATGAAGTTACATTTGAATGCTGTGTTTGTGGTTCTCTGCCAAAAGAATGTTTAAGAACCACATATAAACAGATCCAATGTTAATAGGGTTTTTAAAACAATGTAGTAAAGAAAAATTTTCTTTTTGAAAGGTCAAACCCTTAAACTACGCACTAGAACACCTACATGCAGAGGTAGTGCTGATAAGTTATAATGCAATGGGTGCTTTTCTGACGTTCTTGGTTATATTATTTTAGGAGTATTTGACCAAAACTGATGTCCCTGTGGCCTAGCCTCCACTTCTGTCCATTTCATGGGAAAACTAGCATGTCTTGCAGCCAAAATGTATGACTAGCTCACATTTCGAAGTTGGTTGTTAGTAATTATATTCTGTTGATGTGTTTAATTCTGATTGAGAAAATTGCATATAGCAGAGAAGATACATGTAGTTTTAAACAATTTGGGATGCCTTTTACATCTAAAAAGAAAAACTTAAAGGGATACTCCACTGCCCAAATGAAAATAAATAAATCACTATTTAGTAGATAGTCAAAGCATACATGCATTTTTATGCTCCTCCTTTTTTTTTTTTTTTTTTTTTATTGGCAGCTTGGGAAAGCTGCAGATCTCTTGTCCAATAAAGACTATCCAATGCAGATCTATGAGAAGTCTTTGAAAGGCAAGTCCTCTGAGCAATTGCTGCCTCTTGAGTTTAGCTCTACTGAGCTAAACAACCAGCAAGTAGCATGACTGTCTGACAGCTGAGGGTGGGTGTAACAAAGTAAATTTATACGTGCCAATTTCTATTAAAATCTACCCTTTTTTAATTTTATTTTTAACCATACTTTTCAAATGTTAACAGCCATTTAAAAAAAAATAAAAAAAATAACTATTTCAATTGAGGTAGCACATATGCTGCTTAAAGGAACAATCCACTGGCCCCCCAAAAAAATCACTGCTTTAGTAGATATTACACAAATCAATACTTGCATGTATTCAATTATGCATTTTTATGTCTTTATCTAAAAAGCTTCAGAGCTTTAGGCTGCTGCCTTTGCAAGCCCTCCTCTTCTAACTCACCCATACTTTCTGTGGCTGTCCAATCGCAGACTTCAAAGAGAAGTCTTTGTAAAGAAGGTGCTCTGAGCAATTGCTGAGCTAAACAAACCAGAATATAACAGGACTGGTTGCCTAATGGACAGTCAGGGGATGTAACAAGGTTAATTTATAAAAGTGTCAATTAATATTGAAATCTGCTCTTCTGCAAAATGGGGGCGGGAAAGCAGTACACACTCTGTATACAAAGCTTCTCCACAATCTCAAGTGCTTTTAAGGGTCTGGAGTGTCCCTTTAACTTGACATATAAAATGTGATTTTGTAATAGACAACATGGGAACAAACTCAATTTAGTACTGGGTAAACTGTCTCTACCAGTAGAACAGTGAAATAGAAAAGTTTGTAGCCATGGTGACCTAACCTGGAGTTTGTCATATTCAAGGGACATTAGAGTAACCAGAACAACTACAGATTAATGTAGTTGTTCTGGTGTCTACTGCCTGTCCCTACAGTCTTTATAATGTAAACACTGACATTTCAAACAAAAGTCAGTGTTTACATTACTGCCTAGTAACACCTTTCGGGGCAGTCACTTAGGCAGCCACTAGAGATGGTTCCTGGGTCAGGGCTGCACAATGTAAATTAGGTCCAGGCATCCAGGATTGCTGCAGAAAGGCAGGTTTATTGGAACAAAAAAGTGCAACGTTTCAACCTACACAGAAGCTTTTATCAAGCTTACTAAAGGCCTCTGTGTAGGCCGAAACGTTGCACTTTTTTTTTTTTGTTCCAATAAACCTTTCCTTTCTGCAGCGATCCTGAGTGCCTGGACCTAATTTATTTGATTTACTGTGTGTGTGTGTGTGTGTGTGTGTGTATGTATATATGTATGTGTATATATATATATATATATATATATATATATATATATATATATATATATATATATATATATATATATATATATATAATATACATCCCAGTCATCCCTACTTCTTGGTCTTCGTATAAAATCAAAATAGCTTTATTAGATATACATTAGAAAGGAAGATCGACGTTTCAGCCCCACTGTGGGCTTTCCTCAGGATCAAAAATTACATACATAAGACCAATATAAACTAAACTGTCTTATATACTATAAGTAAAACAAGTAAATGAATGATGGACTCACCACAGCTGTTGTTGCCACCCGATCGGCGTCCTACTGTTCACTGTGCGCATGTGCATAGACAGCCAGTGCGAACTGCACTACGGCATGACGTTGCACGCATCTCCCTGTCAACCCAAGTAAACTTTGCTGCGCTGCCATGGTGACCTGCAGACGCCGTGCGGGCGGCACGATAAACCACCTATCTGAAAAAAGTGATCGGTGCAATACAGCCGTTAGAGTAAAGACAAATGGATAAAAACATGTAAAATTAAAACATACGACTAAATATATATGCCTAGTCATTTACTTAAATATAATAGACTTAATTGCTCATGTGCTTTACTAATAAAGGTGAATTAAGTGCACCATGTGATACTTATATTGCACTATACTGCAAAAATGCACCAGAGTTCAAGAAAGTGCATAATGTGCATTTATTTAAAGTGCTAATGCTAATTACGTGTCAAATCACTAGAAATAAAGAGAAAATACCCTGTTGTGAATAGACCTTAAAAACTTTAAAGTGCCGCATGCAAAAATGATGTTAAATGACTTGTATTGTCCCTCAAAAGTGACTGTGATAAATCATATGTGTAAAAAAAACTGAGTGACTGATTTTAAGATCCAAGTAGAAAAATTATACTCAGATGTTATCCTAGTGTAATGGATACTTATATAGAGTTACTAAAAACTATAAATAATATAATAAAGTGCATACAGTTGGAAAAAACACAAAATATATACTTGTATGACTGTTAACAGAGCATTAATTAAAAATTCTTAATCACTATATGTACATTAAACAATGATAGATCTAGGCAATACATGCATATCAGTGTATTATTACTCAAGCAGGTTATGAATTATAAGAATGAAAGAGTAAACGTTCATTAAGTCCTCTGGGAGATAATGTATCTAATTCGTCGATCCAATAGGCTTCTCTGAGTAGAAGTTGACCTCTGTCACCGCCTCTTTTATCTTGTAGTATATGGTCAATAGCCGTAGATTTTAAAGCGGATAAAGGGTGTTGTGACAGAAAATGTTTTGCTACTGGCTTTGTTATGGGCAAATGCAAATATTACAAGTTTTAGAATGAAATGTTGTATTTCTTAAACTGTGTACTTTGTCTTTAAGAGAGATTGCAAACTGACAAGGTGTTAGAAATGGAACATATTGTTTTTCATAACTGTTTCTTTAAGCAATAACCTCAGTGCATAATATGTTTGCGCCATTTTGTCCCAGACAAATTACAATAACAATAATGCATAAACAAGCTTCAAGGCTATACTACGACTCTTGCAGTACACAATATACTGTGGTAACCCCAAGTTAATGGAACTTCCACAAATCCGGGAATCTCCCACGACTGCGCACTTACGACTTAGTATAAACAGATAACCTATTCAGACTTTAAGATGCCATCTTGAACTAAGTCAGGAAAATTTCCATGACGTATGCACCCTTCTGTTATGGCCTTGTATGTTTGCCAAATGAAGGGAGGTCCTAAAATGAATAAAGTAAATGAACTACGGTAACCCTAAAATGGAGACACCTAAGGTATAAATAGGTGTACTTTTAAATGTTAAACAGGGGAGAGACTTGGAGACAGACGCTGCTCCATCTTAAAATGACAGAGAGGCTGACATGATGACATGTTCAGAAGGGTATGTTAACCTATTAATGATATTTGCAAGCATGTAATTTAATCTTATAAACTCTGCTATAATGGATTTTATATTTATATTTTTATATAATAAATATCCAAAAAGACAAAACTATTGCTTCCAAGACAATCTTTATTTTATATTGTATTCTCAATTATTTATATATGTTAAATAGAGGATCTCTTACACTATATAAAATTATGGCTAAGATATCTGTATGGTTAGCCCTACTAAGTTCTATGCTTTAAGACATTATAGTGGTAAATAAGGGAACCACCTGCGGTTACAGCTTGTCTGAAACACCATCCCTGTACGCCAGCCGGATTTATGTCCCCTTATCCTTTCGCGTAGTGGGGGGTCTCGGTTTTTCCCACGTAGTTGAGTCCACATGGACATATCAGCTTGTACACGACACATGTTTTGTTTTTTTTACATGTAATTGTGTGTCTAATTTCATATCTTGTATTAGTATGTGGATGGTTGAAATACTTGGCTTATGCCATATGTCCACAGGTGACGCAACCCAGACAGCGTACACACCCACGATTAGTTGTCTTTGATGCTTTGGTGTAGCTTTTTACTGGATCTGTCTTTACCAGCATATCCTTCAAGTTCTTGTTTTGCTTATAACAAATGAGTGGATTTTCTTTAAAAACTTTAGGGAGCGTGTCATCCGTGGAAACCATTCGCCAGTTATACCTGATCACTTTGGCTACCAAGGGTGATTGTTGATGGAACGTCAATGGAAATACCAGTTTCTGTGGGGCTTCAACCTTCTGAGGTGCATGTGCCATCTTGGCATCGTTCAATGCTCGCTCAAGGACATTATCTTTATAACCACGGTTTAGAAACTTCTGGTACATTTCTTTTAGTTGTCTTTCCATTGAATCATTATATGAATTATTCTTGATCACACAAAGAAATTGTGCTTTGGGTAAAGAATTTGTAAGTGCACTGTGATGTGCAATTTGGGCGTGAAGAAGCATGTTGCGGTCCATGGGTTTGGAGTATAGAGAGAATTAGCATTAGCACTTTAAACAAATGCACATTATACACTTTTTTGAACTATGGTGCATTTTTGCAGTATAGTGCAATATAACTATCACATGTCACTTTAAATTACATGTTGCACTTAATTCACCTTTATTAGTAAAGCACATGAGCAATTAAGTCTGTTATATATTCTTATAACTAATTGACTAGGCAGACATATTTAGTGTATTTAGTCATATGTTTTAATTTTACATGGTTTTTATCCATTTGTCTTTACTCTAACGGCTGTATTGCACCAATCGCTTTAAGACCGGTGGGTTATCTTGCCGCCCACACGGCGTCTGCAGGTCACCATGGCAGCGAGGCAAAGTTTACTTGGGTTGCCAGGGAGATGCGTGCAACGTCATGCCGTAGTGCAGTACGCATTGGCTGTTTATGCACATGCGCACAGTGAACAGTAGGACGCCGATCGGGTGGCAACAGCTGTGGTGAGTCTATCATTCATTTACTTGTTTTACTTGTAGTATATAAGACAGTTTAGTTTATATAGGTCTTATGTATGTAATTTTTGATCCTGAGGAAAGCCCAGAGTGGGGCTGAAACGTCGATCTTTCTTTATTTTTAATGTATATCTAATAAAGCTATTTTGATTTTATAAGAAAACCGAGGAGTGCAGTCATCCCTATTGAATTTATTATATGCATCAGCCAGTTGACTTTGGCACCCGGCAATACCTAAGGAAAGCGTGAGTGCAAGGAAGCCTTTTGCTTTTTGTGTGTGTGTATATATAATGTCACTATAGCGTTCCTTTAATACTTTTAACACTAATAAGCATCTTTTAATGTTATCATATAATGTTTGTTTTATTTTTATGAGAAAGCTATGAGAAGATGTGTTTTGAGAATGAATGATGTGTCTACTGTATCATGGGACATTTGAATTAGAAACACACTATTTGGCAGCTCCACATCTACTTCATTTCAGCACATGTGACTGTCTGTGTTGTAACAATCTATTGCTCTGCATGTGTTTGTGGCAATCTAAGAACTACTGGGATTATTAACTGGTAGGGGGGTTAAAAGTACATAACTAGTCATTAGAATATCTAATTTTGTAGTCTTGGATAAAATCTGTTTAATGGTGGTATGTATGCACAAAAATTAAAATTTTTGCCCCTAGATTTGGGGCCTTACGAAGGTTTAAGAACTAGTGTAGGCATGATATGCAAATGTAAGAAACAGGTTTTATCTATTTCTATATTTAGGCTTGACAAATTTGCTTGAAATCTAGGAGTCAGCTAAAAAAAATTAGGAGCCAGGTATTTTGGGTTTTTTTAAGCTTAATTTTCAGGGGCAAAAATAGAATTCTTAAAGGGATACTATAGTCACCAGAACCACTACAGCTTAATATAGTGGTTCTGGTGTCTATAGCTTGTCCCTGTAGGATTCTTAAAGGGACACTATAGTCATCAGAACAACTACAGCTTATTGCATTTGTTCTGGTGAGGAAAAACATTACCTTCAGGCTCTTTGCTGTAAACACTGTCTTTTACAGCCTAGCGATAACTTCACTGGCCACTCCTCAGATAGTTGTTAGAGATCCTTCCTGGGTCATGGCTGAAAATGCATCCAAACATTCAGTGTCTCCTCTGCAGACACTGAACTTTCCTCATAGAGATTCATTGATTCAATTCATCTCTATGAGGAGATGCTGATTGGCCAGGGTTGTGTTTGAATTGTGTTGGCTCTGCCCCTGATCTGCCTCGTCAGTCTCAGCCAATCCTATGGGGAAGCACTGTGATTGGATCAGGCTACCACTTCTGCTGATGTCAGCAGGTAGTGTGCAGGTCAAAGGGAAACCGTGACAAAGCAAGTCGCTCCAGACTTGAATACAAGTTAGATTTTACTATATTTATGAAGGCAAAGGGAGCTAGATTGTGGTTTTAACTCTATAGGGTCAGGAATACAATTTTGTGTTCCTAACCCTTTAGTGCTCCTTTAACCCCTTGACGACCGATGACGGTTCAGGACAGTCATCGGAAAAATCCCCTTGGGGACCGATGACTGTCCTGAACTGTCATAACGGTCTGGGGCTACTTACCTGATCGTCCATCGGTCCCGAGGCGGCAATCAGCGCTCCTCCCGGTCCAGATGGACTTCCTGTCTGCCCGGGCAGTCTCCCCTCGTCAGATCAGGACCCTGCGGCCGCAATAGGTGCCTGTGTATCTGCCTGCAGGGGGACTGTCTGTGCTGACAGGCAGTCTCCCTGCAAGTGAAAAATAAAAAATAAAGTAAAAAAATAAAGCAATCAGTGTAAAAAAAAGTGTGTGTGTGTGTGTGTATATGTGACTATTAACAAATTTATAATATATAGTTATTATATATATATATTGTGTGTATATATACGCACGTGTGTAATTTAAATTAAAAGTGTATTTTTATATTAATATACAAAAATACACTTAGTGTGACATTATAGATATATATGTATATATCTATATATAATGTCATACTAAGTGTATTTTTGTATATTAATATAAAAATACACTTTTAATTAAAATTACACACGTGTGTATATCTACAATATATATAATTATATTATAAATATGTTAATAAAAATAAATAACAAAAAGTAAAATTTTTTTATAAAATATATATATTAAAAATACGAAATATACATATGTCCATATACATAATTACATAAATAATTTCATAAATATACACGTAGACGTCAAATATATACGTATATATATTAAAATTCTACGTGCGTATTTATGTAATCTTTTTACCTAATTAAGTAATTTTAATGATTGCAATTTGAGGGACCTGCCTGACAACCCAGGCCGAAAGTCCAGAGAATTTAATTTGCTAGCACTGTGTTTAACCCTGTAACTTTCTATGACACCCTAAAACCTGTACATGGGGGGAGAACTGTTTTACTTGGGAGACTTCGCTGAACACAAATATTAGTGTTTCAAAACCGTAAAACATATCACAGCGATGATCTTGTAAGTGAAAGTGACGTTTTTTGCACACAAACAGCACTTTCACTGATATTATTGCTGTGATACCTTTTACTGTTCTGATACACTAATATTTGTGTTCAGCGAAGTCTCCTGAGTAGAACAGTACCCCACATGTAGAGGTTTTATAGTCTTTGTGAAAGTTACAGGGTCAAATATAAGGCTTGATTTTATTTTATTTATTTATTTATTTATTTTTAATTGAAATTTGTCAGATTGGTTAGGTTGCCTTTGAGAGCGTATGGTAGCCCAGGAATGAGAATTAGCCCCATGATGGCATACCATTTGCAAAAGAAGACAACCAAAGGTATTGTAAATGGGGTATGTTCAGCCTTTTTTAGTAGCCACTTAGTCACAAACACTGGCCAAAGTTAGTGTTTTTTGCATTTTTAACACACAAACAAATATAAATGCTAACTTTGGCCAGTGTTTGTGACTAGGTGGCTACTAAAAAAGACTGGACATACCCCATTTTGAATACCCTGGGTTGTCTACTTTAAAAAAAAAATATGTACATGTGAGGTGAGTGATATAGATATAGATATATAGAGATAGATAGATAGATATCTAGCAATTTCCTACTTGTATTTATAGGCCTATAACTTGCACACAAAAAAACAACCAATAAAGCATGTAAACACTGGGTGTTTTTAAACTCGGGACAAAACTTTGAATCTATTTAGCAGTTTTTTTTAAAATTAGCTTTTGTAGATAAGTAAAAGATTTTTCAAGTAAAAGTCCAAAAACATGTTGTTTTTTTTTTTTCTTCAATAAAATATATGACCTGATTAATGATGTCCCGAACGGTTCGCCACGGACGGCGAACATATGCGCTGTTCGGTCCGACCCCTATGTCATCATTGAGTAAACTTTGACCCTGTACCTCACAGTCAGCAGACACATTCCAGCCAATCAGCAGCAGACCCTCCCTCCCAGACCTTCCCACCTCCTGGACAGCATCCGTTTTACATTCATTGTGAAGCTGCATTCTTAGTGAGCTGTCCAGGAGGTGGGAGTGTCTGGGAGGAAGGGTCTGCTGCTGATTGGCTGGAATGTGTCAGCTGACTGTGAGGTACAGGGTCAAAGTTTACTCAATGATGACAAATAGGGGGCGGACCGAACACGGCATATGTTGGCCGTCCGTGGCGAACCGTTCGGGACATCACTAGACATGATACAAATAATGGTATGTAAAGAAAGCCCTTCTTGTCCTGAAAAAAACAATATATAACTTGTATGGGATCCGTAAATGAGAAAGAGAGAGGAAAATTACAGCTAAACACAAACACCACAAAACTGTCAAAACTGCTCTGGTCCTTAACGTACAACATCGCAAAAACAGGCCAGTCCTTAAGAGGTTAATGTAAATACACTTTCAGAGAAAGGGCAGTGTTTACATTGCCGCCTAGTAACACCTCTATGTGCAGTCACTTAGACAGCCATTAGAAGTGCTTCCTATCTATGTGCTGCACAATGTGCAACGCTTGCGTTCAGCGTCTCCTATGGAAAAGCATTGGCTTGGCTGAGATCTTGGGAGAGCTGGAGTGAACTGGCTTTCCTTGGGGTCCACTGGGGCTACTGTAATCTTCCTGCTTTGCTCCCTCTTACACTGATTACTGATGCTGGGGCCAGAGTGACCTCATATTCCAGCTCCAGGCATCATTGCAGGGCGCCAGAGCGCCAGGATTTCGCTCAGCCGGCTTCCTCCGCTCTACATTAGCCTGGCCACCTGCATTCTCCCTTGCCATCTCTGCTGAACGGGGTGACATATCCCAGACGCCAGGACAAAATTCATAGTCGTCATGGTGACCTGGCACCTGGGATTTGTCGAGCCCTGTCCTAGTCCAGTTCTACACAAGTGTACCTATGCTCAGCATTTCCATTCTCTGCGTGGAGGCGTTTAACGTTCCCCACAGAGATGCATTGATTCAGTCCATCTCTGAGGAGATGCTGATTTGTGCTGCGTTTTGCCATGCATTTGCAACAGACTGCCCATGTGATCGGAGGGGGGCGATCACCTAACTAGACACACACTTACTGATTTGACACACTCACAACCTATTACAGTGGGACCTCGGTTTACATAATTTTCGGTTTACAAATGAAAATCCATTGAAAATAATGCCTCGGTTTACACATTTTTTTGTTTTCGCAATACAAAGCAAGTTTCCCCAGGATGCATTGCACCTGAGAGGTTTAGAGCACTGCCCCCTGCATGCTGGAGCCTGTGGGTAGCACGTGGCGTCAAGTGTGGAGGTGTTGGAGCGGCTTTTGCATCACGTTTTGGAGCCATTCTGGAAATTGTTTGCAGTTGTTTTGGGACTTTTTGGTGCATTTCTCAAGCTGTGGAAAGGTAGGGAGCTGAGCTTTGTTGTTTGCAAGCCTTTTATTGTGTGTTCTGCATTGTGGGTTGGTTTCCATGCCAGCTCATTTTGACTTTTTTTTTTTTTTTCCTGACCTCCAGAACGGATTAATTGGTTTTCAATGCATTCCTATGGGAAACCGCGTTTCGGTTTACAAATTTTTCGCAATAAGAAATGTCCCGGAGAACACATTAAATTCGAGGTCCCACTGTGTTTTTTTTTTTTTCTTATTTAAGTCAAGCTAAGCCCTTCCTACCTGTGGGGAGAGACACAGTGGATCCTAGGGGTCCAGTGTGTCTGTCATCTTCCTTGTGCGCCGTTAAGTGATGCTGGAGCCATGTCATATCTCACTAGAGGATGCATGAGGAAGCAGAGCATGAAGATGATGGCTACTTCGACTCCTGTTTCCATTGTTCACAGGGAGGCTGAAAAACACTCAGACGCCAAGGAAAATTCCTAGTCACCATGACAACCTTGCACCTGTGATCTATATTGATGTAGTAATTTGTATTGTCCATTGATGAGAGCTTTTCTGCTTCAGCTTATGTCGTATTGATGTCACAGTTGCACAAGTTAGGTCAAATTGATGCAATAAAAGAGGTAGCGAAAACCCTTACTTTGTTGTGTCTGTGCTAGTGAGGCTGACGTATAGTTGCAGTTTATAAACCAGTTTCACAACTGAGACAGGGTTCAGGACACTATCTGCACCATAAAGTTGCAGTAATGCAATAGCTGCTTTTATTCTTAAAATGACCCTTTAAGATCCAGTCATTCTAATTTTTGTTTATTATGCTATAAATTATTCTTGTCTGTGCTGGTGTACATATTCTGTCAAAGTGCTGTTTATTGGAGGTATTCTGCAAAAGCATTTGGGATTTCTAATACGTATCAAATCAATCAAATTGGTGAATTAAAGTTCTTACATGCGAACTTTAATACACTAATTTGACTGAATTAAAATCTAGTGAGTGCTCTAATTTTTTTGCATTTCATATACTTTGGAGCGCCCTGGTTTGAATAAGGCATTGGTATATTAAAATGTAGGTAGAGTGCCAGATTATTTGAGAGAGATAGATATAGATATATATTTATTTTCTAGGGACTTGAAAGAGATCAATATAACTTGGCTTTTATTTCCTCCATAATAAAAGATGTCAACGTTTCAGCTCCAACACAGAGTTTTCATCAGGACAATGAACAATTACAAGTGTTTGTAATAAGCTTTCATAATTGACATATTTATAATCTGGTAATTTGATTACCCTTATGTTCTTGAGCCACTGCTCTGACTTCACAGTAGGCTGAAAATGGTGGTAGGCACAGTAGGTTCGGCTGTTGGGATTGTGGTTGATCCCACTGTGCGTCTCAGCTGTTGCTGGGATACAGCCTGATACGCAAGCTCACCTCTCCCCCTTCCCCTCTGGGCCTGCAGCACACTTGCACCTGGCAGAGTGGGTGCACATCTCGGCCAGCTGTGAACTCTGTGAGTATGTGATGTGGGTGTTATGTGGTTATATAGTTCATGTTTGCACATTTGTAATTGTTTATTGTCCGTGTTGGAGCTGAAACGTTGACTTCTTCCTTTTAAGCAGTAAATAAAAGCTAAGTTTTATTAATCTATTTCAAGTCCCTGGAGTGCTTTTTTTTTTTAAATACTTTTTTCCAGACCAGCACTGGTCATTACTACGATTAACCTGGAGGTCAAGCTACTGCGATATATATATATATATATATATATATATATATATATATATATATATATATATATATATATATATATATATATATATATATATATATATATTCTCAAAATTCTGTTACTCCAATAAAAAGGTATTACAAGATAAAATTTGTATCTTGTAATACCTTTTGTTATTGGATTAACAGAATTTTATAATGACAAGCTCTCAGGAGAACCTCCCTTTATCAAGTCTAAAGCATTTCTGGTGGTACTCTTCTACACATTAACAAATTCATGACACGGGAAAACTCACACCTTGAAGTATTACGAAAACACCTTCAAATCTCTACTTTAAAAAATATTGATACAACAATCTGTGTGTGTGTGTAAAATATATATATATATATATATATATATATATATATATATATATATATATATATATATAATGTGTGTGTGTGTATGTAGATATCGATAGATATCTGTATCTATCCGGTCGTCTCCATGGTGGGCATTGCTTCTCTTGTAGTCAAGTAGCTAGTCCATCGAAAAACCCACCCAGAGTTGAGTCTGAACTGAACTCGAAGAATATCTGGGAGAAAGAAGCATCTCATAACACCAAGGCCCAGTGGCTACCAGACCTGAAAGCAGACCACTGCATGCTGCCAGAACAGGAACTAGTCCCCATCACAGTCGAAGATATCCAACAGAGCAAATCACACATGAAGAGCTGGTCAGCCCCAGGACCTGACATGATCCAAAACTACTGGATAAAGAAGTTAACAGTGCTGCATGAACTCCTAGCAGCACAAATTAACCAGCTACTAGCAACAGGCTCCCACCCTGACTGGCTTACATAAGGCAGAACAATACTGGTCATGAAGGACCCTCACAAGGGAACACCATCCTACTACCGACCAATAATCTGCCTCCCAACAACATGGTAATTCATGTCTGGCATCGTAGTCTCCAAGATCCAAGGGCATAAGAGTCAATATATGAGCTAATACTCAGAAGGGGATTGGAAACAAAAGCAGAGGATCAAAACACCAACTACTGGTAGACCAAACAGTCACAAGGGATTCTAAGACCAGACAGACCAATCTTTCCACGGCCTGGATTGACTACAAGAAAGCCTATGACACAGTGCCACACACATGGATACTGGAATGCTTGGCTCTCTACAAGGTCAGCAAGGCAATAAGAGCCTTCATCAAGAACTCGATGAGCAAGTGGAAAACTCTAGAAGCCAATTCCTGGACAATAACTCAAGTGAACATCAAATGTGGCATATACCAAGGTGATACAATATCCCCAATGCTGTTATGCATAGGCCACAACCCCCTTAGCCAGATTATGAAGAAGAGTGGATACAGGTTCAAGAGTGGAGCCACCTACTCTACATGGACAACATCAAGCTGTGTGGCAAGATTGAGCGAGACATTGACTCACTGATCCATCTAACTAGGATATACAGCAAGGACATCGGAATGTCGTTCGGACTAGAGAAGTGTGGCGGAAGATGGCAAAAAGAGGGAAGATGATCAGGACAGGAGGAGTTGAAGTTCCAGAAGGCCATATAGAAGATGTATAGTGGGGGTACCACAAACACATGGCAACCATGAGGGAGAGGCAAGGAGGATAGCAACATCAAATTACCTCCAAAGAGTTACAGGCCATGAAGTCCCAACTCAATGGCAAGAACAGGATCCAAGCCATCAACACATATGCCCAACCGGTCATCAGGTACACAGCTGGAATAATAACCTGGCCAAGAGAAGAACTGGTCACCATGGATGTCAACTCACATGGAAACTACTCACTATGAATGGAGCATTCCACCCGAAATCCAGCACCCAGAGACTGTACACTTGCCGGAAGGAAGGAGGCTGGGGCTTGAGGAGTATCAAGGCCACAGTCCTGGATGAAACACGGAGCATCCACAAGTACATCACAAAGATGGCTCCCAAAGTTGAACTGCTAAGGGATAGAGGAGGTTCCTTGTCAAGACAAACCTTTCCATGGGGTTTACCACCGGCAGATAGTGGATGTGGCTCACATGATAAAATCCTGCCAGTGGTTTGAAAAGGCAGGACTGAAAGCCAGCACTGAGGCACTAATCCTAGCAGCACATGAACAAGCACTCAACACCAGATCAATAGAAGCAGGAGTCTACCACACCAGGCAAGACCCAAGGTGCAGACTATGCAAAGAGGCCTCTGAGACAACCCATCACCTAGTAGCCGGATTCAAGATGTTAGCAGGAACAGCATATACACGGAGAGACACAACAAAGTTGCTGGGATTGTCTAACGAAACGTGTTCAAAATATGGATTGGACCTGCTTAAGTCCAGATGGGATACCACAAAGGGTAGTTGAGAATGACATGGCTAAGATCCTGTGGGACTTCAAGATCCAGACAGACAAGTGCTGGCCAAGCAACCCAACATTGTGGTGACCAGGAATGAAAGACTGCAGTCGAGGTAGATGTGGCAATACCCAGTGACTACAACATCAGGAAGAAGGAACATGAGAAGATGAAGAAATACCAAGGACTGAAAGAAGAACTAGAAAGGATGTGGAAAGTGAAGGCAGTAGTATTCCCAGTTGTGATAGGAGCACTTGGGGCTGTGGCTTAAACAGATACTGCGCAGAACCCTCAAACTCCCAGGCCTCTGGTAGAGGACCCGAGAATGAGGAATAAACATACCACTCAGGAGGGGTGAGAAAATCTAATTTTATATCATTCATTCATACATACATACATACTTGGCTAAAGCAAGACCTATGCGTCGGTGGAAGAATAAGAAGGCTGAATGAAAATACTTTAACCCTTAATGGAAGAACAGTTCCAGGGAACCTCAAGCTCTATAACTACTAAAATGAGATGAAATAATTAGTTATTTTAGATATTTTACAACAGATCTCTTATTAAAAAAAAAAAAGTATTCAATTTTTACCTATGTTGTAATGCATATGGTAATACTTCCTGTTATTTGAAGGTGTTTATAATACTTCAAGGTGTGAGTTTTGCAATGTCAAGTATTTAACTTATAGGAAGGTACCACCAGTACCTTTGAGAGTCCGAAATTTCTTTCTGTGTGAATCTCTAGTTGCTGTGGGAAATTAGATATTTTTGTGTAATTTATCCTGCTTAAAATGTATTTTCCCTGTTTATTTCTTCAGGTAATAACAAGTGAGGAAGCTGAGAGAAGGGGTCAGCAGTATGACAGCAGAGGAATCACTTATCTCTTTGATCTGGACTATGAGTCTGATGAATTCACTGTGGATGCAGCCCGATATGGAAACATCTCACATTTTGTAAATCACAGTGTAAGCAGACTTTCAAACAAATGTAATCACAATGTGCATAGACATGTTACAGGAATAAGGAGTCCCTTCTTTGTGATGGTAGATAGGTGGGGATGTGAATATTAATAGCTGCTGCTAATGACTTCCACAGTGATAATTTGTATACATGCATTATGTTTGCACTATAGTAATATTCTTTGTTGTATTATTGGTGTGTGTTAAGTGAAGAGTACACTTTTTTATAAAAAAATTCTGGAATGAAGAGAGGTGAACAGCGCTTTGAATAAATTAAATACTGTATACATAAGAAAGAAAGTAGCCTTCTGATTCATAAATCTTAAATACAAAACAAGAGACAAATTAATGGTGCAATACAGTGGATAATTACAAGTGAACTAGATGTGGGTTAATTGAACACTCCCATTTTATAGAGCTGTCTCAGTTCTATTTTGGATATAGCTAGAGGGTCTTTAAGGCTTGATATCATATGAAAAAAACATAAGAAAATCCCTATGGTATGTATATAAATGCTGTAATATATAAAGGAGATTGTGGTGTGAAGAACTTGAGGTGGAACAATCCCCACCTGAGGATATATGCAGGAACAAGATGAAATGCAGGAGCTGGGCAAAGGTAAGTATTCCACAGGTTTGTAGAAATAAAAGATACTTTATTACTATTAACCCCTTAATGACCGAGGACAGTTCAGGACAGTCATCGGCATTTTTGCATTGCCGACCGATAACGGTCCTGAACCGTCCTAACGGTCTGAGTTACCTGATCGCCGTCATTCCCCCGGCGATCAGCGTGGCTCCCGGTGTGGGGAGACTGCCTGCAGCCCAGACAGTCTCCCCACACTGAATTAGGACCCCTGTGGCCATGTGATCGCTTAACACAGCGATCACATGGTCACAATAGATGTCCATGTGTCTGCCTGCAGGGGGACTGTCTGTGCTGACAGGCAGTCTCCCTGCTAGTGTAAAATCAATAAAAAAAATAGTTAGTGTTAATAAAAAATAAAAATAAAATTATATGTGTATATATGATAGATAGATATATATATATATCTCTATATATAGATATATATATATATATATATATATCTATATATATATATATATATATCTCTATATATCATATATATATATATATATATATATATATATAATGCCATACTAAGTGTATTTTTATATTAATATGTACTTATATTAATATAAAAATACACTTATAACTAAATTACACACGTGTATATATATATATAATATATATAATAACTATATATATTGTGTATATATATATATTATTATAAAATATAAATAAGTAATTTAAATTAAATAAAAATGTTTTTAAATAATAAAAATTTTAAAAAAAATTATATCTATATGAAATTTTATTCTAACTGTATTTTAAAATTAATATATATATTTATATCAAAATACACTTAGCATGAATTTGTATATATATATCTATGTATATATAAATAAATAAAAATAATACAAAATATACATATGTCCATATACAAAATTACATAAATAATTATATAAATATACACGTAGACTTCAAATATATAAATATGCATATATATTTAAATTCTACGTGCGTATTTATGTAATATTTTTACATAATTCAGTAATTTTATTGATTGCAATTTGAGGGACCTGCCTGCCAACCCAGGCCGAAATTCCAGAGAATTTAATTTGCTAGCACTGTATTTTACCCTGTAACGTTCTACGACACCCTAAAACCTGTACATGGGGGGTACTGTTTTACTCGGGAGACTTCGCTGAACACAAATATTAGTGATTCAAAACAGTAAAACATATCACAGCGATGATATTGTCAGTGAAAGTGACTTTTTTTGCATTTTTCACACACAAACAGCACTTTTACTGATGATATAATTGTTGTGATACGTTTTCCAGTTTTTAAACACTAATATTTGTGTTCAGCGATGTCTCCCGAGTAAAACAGTACCCCCCATGTACAGGTTTTATAGTATTTTTGAAAGTTACAAGGTCAAATATATGGGTCAAATATTTTTACATTGAAAATGGCCAGGTTGGTTACGTTGCCTTTGAGAGCGTATGGTAGCCCAGGAATGAGAATTACCCCCATGATGGCATACCATTTGCAAAAGAAGACAACCCAAGGTATTGCAAATGGGGTATGTCCAGTCTTTTTTAGTAACCACTTGGTCACAAACACTGGCCAAAATTAGCGTTCAATTTAGTTTTTTTACTTTTTTCACACACAAACAAATATGAATGCTTACTTTGGCCAGTGTTTTCGACTAAGTGGCTACTAAAAAAGACTGGACATACCCCATATTGAATACCCTGGGTTGTCTACTTTAAAAAAAATATGTACATGTTGGGTGTTATTCAGAGATTTATGACAGATAATAGTGTTACAATGTCACTATTGATAAATTTTAAAAATGTATGTTTTGAAACCGCAATATCCTACTTGTACCTATAGCCCTATAACATGCAAAAAAAAGCACGTAAACACTGGGTATTTTTAAACTCAGGACAAAATTTTTAATCTATTTAGCAGTTTTTTTCATTTGCTTTTGTAGATGAGTAAAAGATTTTTCAAGTAAAAGTCAAAAAACGTATTTTTTTCCAATTTTTCATCATATTTTTTATTTTTTTTAAATTAAAATACATGAGATTATATAAACAATGGTATGTAAAGAAAGCCCCTTTTGTCCTGAAAAAAACAATATATAATTTGTATGGGAACAGTAAATGAGAAAGCGGAAAATTACAGACAAACACCACAAAAGTGTAAAAATATGCCTGGTCGCAAATGTACATCGCAAAAATAGTCCAGTCCTTAAGGGGTTAAAATGCTAAACGTACCGCTTGCTATGGTAAATAAAAGTCTAAAAACAAATCTGTAGATGGAGTAAAATCCTCACTTGACACTTTTCGCCGAAGCTTTTTCGAAAGTGGGTACCGCTTGTTGGCGGTAAGTCCTCGTCTGTCTGCCAATGAGCCATCCCTGCACAGCAGGGCTTAGCTGAGTGGCGGTAATGGAAACTCTTTACAAGTAAGGGTTACTCTGACCAAAAACTGTGTTTTATTAAAACACAATTTGTCGGTTGGAGTATTCCTTTAAGATGAAACTGTTACTTCTCTGGAAATTATACCATTGAATAAAACCTTTAAAAAAAATCACATATAACTTGTGTTAACTGGTTTTCATGTGATGCCCCATTTTTATATTGCAATTTAAGACAGCTAGAGGTGCTTACTATCACGGTTGTGCAGTATTTGCCCTCACTGCCTACATGCTTCTCCATCTAAATAGGCAAGACATCTGTAAAGAGATGCTAATTGGCACAGCGTTTTGCTGTGCATGCACAATAGCCTCCCAATGCTTTCTTATTGAAAGTCATTGAATTGACTGAGATCATCAAGCTTTACTATCTCAGACATGGAGCTGGGATCAGCCGCAGCAAGACTGGCACAGCGTGGGGGGGGGGAGGATGGGAGGACCAATATTGGTCGATCCCTACTTCTGTGATCTAAAACACACCCTCACTCAGACAGAAGTAGGGATCGACCGATTATTATAATTTTTTTAATTATAATTTTTTTTTTTTTTTTTTTTTTTTGAGCCAATACCGATAATCTGTGAACTTTCAGGCCGATAGCCGATAACTTACCGATACCGATGTTCTGTACATTTACAATTTAAATACAAAACAAAAAACTATTTCTACACAAATCTAAAGTTAACTGAACATGTTTTACTTATTTTTTTTGTAACCTTTTTTTATTTTATTATTAAGGTAAATGCACAAAATATACATGCCAGTCAGAATTTTTTGTTTTCAAGAGTGAGTGTGTGTGTGTAGTGAATGCAGTGTGTGTGTGTAGTGAATGCAGTGTGTGTGTGTATTTGTGCAGTGAGTGTTTGTGTAATGTGTGTAAAATGTGGGGGAGCTTTTTTAACTTTAAAAAAAAAATGACATTTTTTTTTTTTACAATTTGGATTAGTCCCTCCTCCCTGCTTCTTACCTGGCCAGGGAGGGGGGATATGGCATACCCTGGGGGGGCCCAGCACACTCTTACCTTCCCAGCAGCTCCTCTGTCTAACTCTCGCGGCCTGTGTGCCGCACGGAGCGTTGCCATGGTAACCCGTGGCAACGCTCTGACGGCCACGGGACTCGCGAGATTTAGACGGGAGCTGCTGGGAAGGTAAGAGTGTGCTGGGGCCCCAGGAGCGCCGCGGGCCCCCCAGAACCCTGATGGTGGCCCTGGTCTACATTGTCAGCAATATCGGTATCTTTATTGGCCGATACAGATATTGATGAAAATACAGAATATCGGCCAGACCGATTATCGGTCGATCCCTAGACAAAAGCACACATTTACTTACTGACAAACACATCTCTCACGCTCACAAATTTGTTTTTAATTCAATTTAAGTCCACCCAGCCTTCCTACTTTTAGGAGAGCTGGAGTGGATTCTTTCCCTGGGGTCCAGTGGGGCTGTTGTCCGCACGTGCCATATAGTGACGCCGAGGCCGGAGTGACATTGTTTTTAGACGCCTGCAATCACTGCAAGGCGCTTGAGGGAGCAGAGCAAGAAGAGTAGTAAGATCACAGCTCCCTTGCTGACCGCCTCCATTCCTTATAGCCGCCCAACCGCCTCCACTCTCCTTCAGCCGGCTGCCAACTTCAGAAGGAACAGGCTGACAAATACCCAGGCGCCAGCACAAACCTCATAGTCACCATGGCAACCTGGGATTTGTTGAGCCTGCCTATAGACCACCTATTACCTCCTATGCTTAAGATCTTATGTTAGACTAATTTGTTATCCATAGTTTTGTTAGATGTTGTTCTTTGTCATTCACGTAAAATTCATACATCTAACCCAAGCCAAAGAGCTCTCACTAAGTTTATATTCTATCTCATAAACTGCCTAGTTTTTATCTTACTCTCTAGTGAGTGTTTCATGTCACATACTGATCTTTCTTCTTCATGCAGTGCTTTAAGACACCTACCTTCAAATAGACTATAATTTCTCAAAAATATGACTCACACTTCCTTTATTTCGTTTGTACCTGCTTGTCTTTTTATGTAAATTTGGTTCACTCTGTCTGTCGTAACTCTTCTGTCTTAAGATACATTGTAAAATAATTTTTGTTGGTTATAGTTCTGCATTACTCGATTACTTGATTATGTGATTGCTAATGGTCTAAAAACTGCTGTGTGTTTTGTGATTTATTTTTTTTTCTTTATTTTTCTTTTTTTTTAGTGTGATCCAAATCTTCAAGTATTCAATGTTTTTATTGATAACTTAGATGTGCGTCTTCCACGAATTGCATTGTTTTCAACGCGAAACATCCGAGCTGGAGAGGAGCTTACATTTGATTATCAAATGAAAGGTGATTTGCGAGCAGCCAGTTGTTTGTGCCTGTCACTCATTTCTAAGACAAAAAATTCTTACAATATCCATGCAATGCAGCACGTGCTTGATCTCCTTTTAATATATTGGCATTATTGTCTTTTTAAAAGTGAATTTTATAATAGGTAACCAAAGAATAACAGTGTAAGTAATATAATGTGGGGGGGTGGAGGGGTTCTACTTCTCTTTGCTGTCCAACCTTTCTGGATTATACGTCTTATGGAGCACAAAGGGATTAGCTACAAGTTTGGGATGAGTGTGTAGAGTGACACTATTGAATTTTAACTGTAAATGAAAAATCAAATGGTAATACTTATCAAGATGTATCGTTTCACCCTCAGGTTACGGAGATCTTAGTTCAGATTCTATTGACATGAGCCCAGCCAGGAAGAGGGCCCGGACGGCTTGCAAGTGTGGTGCTTCCACTTGTCGAGGATTCCTTAACTAAATCATGGTTTCTATATCCGTGCTCAGTGCAGTACATATTTTCATATGATGTGAAAACAAATTATATTTTTATGGCTTTCCTTGTATTAAATGCATAGATTTGTGTGTTATTTTTATTCTACAAAATAAAATTTTAATGCCTATTTTGAATACATTCAGTTTTGTTTAAGAAAAATAACTAAGCACTGCAGGCCTTTGCAATCACTCGGATACTAACCTATTTTATATGGTTGGATTGGTTTTTTTTTTGTACAGCTTTTAAGTTAACCATTTGTCCACAGTAGCCAGTTGGCTGTTTCTCTTGTCCAAATCAATTAATTGTTTTGCTATTTATATTATTACTGTTTATATTGTAGTGTTTTAATCATTTAGTCATTTAAAGAAAGGATGTATTCTATAATGTTGCTGCTACATATTATAAGTTCGGTAACATTTGGCAGTTTACACGACACAGAATTTCATTATTACCCAGTGCTACTAATTTTATTGACTTGTTATAAATGAAAGACCAAGTTCCTGGCTCTCTGAGATTTGCTATATGGCAGTAGACACTTTTCAAGTTATGCTAACAACTAGATATTGAATATATGTAGGGAAAACAGCTGAGAATATTTCCTATTTGGCTATTTTTTCATTTCTATTTCTTAGCTCTAAAATTGGCAGTTCTTTTGTTAAATAACACAATTCTTGTTATAGTGAGTAATTCTGTAAGTCAATCTAAAATATACAAAAATATTTTTTTGGTCTTGAAGTCTGACCTAGAATTGCAAAAACTATATAGATTCTCACATCTCATATAAGCACTTGATGATTTACACATTCACTGGTTGGTCCATATATTGGCTTTGTAAATGTGTACTTTAAAGTGATATTCTAAGCACCCAAACCACTTGAGCTTGTTGAAGGAACTTTAGTGTGTAGATTATTCCCTGCAGTCTCGCTGCTCATTACTCTTCCATTTAGGAGTAAAATCACCGTTGTTTCTGTTTATGCAGCCCTTGCCTCTCCTCCCCTGGCTGTGACTCACACAGACAACATGGAAAAAAAAAATCCTTTTATGGCAAGACAGGAGGCTTCATATTTGCTTTACTTTCTTTACTGAATCCTCCCAGCAGCAAAGAAACAGTTAAACAATTTAAAACAATCAACCAATCAAGACATCTACACAGTTATGGGACAGCTATGTGACTCATCCCAACTCCTATTTCTTTGCTCCTTGCCTTCCTGGTGAGTCTGATTAACTTGGCCTTAGTTTACCATACCATTGTTTTAATTGTATTTTTTGGTCTTAATTATTATTACATCTTTATACTTCATTATATAGATTCTCCCCTCAGGGCCGACCTCTTGTCAGCCCACAGGGTTTTTTCTTTCACTCCCACTGGCTTTTTGCTGCCGTGAATATTGCACAGCCCATTTTTTCCTGTGACGCGAGTGGCTGCTGCCTTGTTCAGTGCAGGTAGTTATTTTGTTTATTTTCGCAGTTTATTTTCATCAGAGAAACACTTCTAATCCCTCTCGGTTTTCAAAACTTATTTTTCTAAGTACCAAGGTACGTTTTTCTTGTGAAATATAATTTTGGACTATTCTTCCACAATCCTATCTTTTAAAATATATTCTAAATAGTTTTTCTCATATTCTTCCTGCCAGGTTCATAGCCTCATTTATTTAAAGTGGGATTATTTTTTCATTCTATAAATCCAAACATTAATCTGCCTCATGGGTTACCCCCTTTATTGTAACAGGTGATCCGTTTGCTATAGTGGTAATTTTCTCCACTACTTGGCTACCTACTGCGTCTTGTTTGTTTTATATATATATATATATATATATATATATATTTTATTATTATTATTTTTTTTTTTTTTACTGCTGCATCTTTGGGTGACCCCCAAGATTTATTTGAAAGGGTGACCCCCAATTATAAACAAAGGGTGACCCCTTTTCATATCTGTTCTTTCCTTATTATTTTTTATTGGTAATTTAATTAAAACCTTACTTTATTAGCCTGTTGTCTGCCTTTTATATGATCTGGCTTTTGGTCGGTGTTGTATTACCCTTTCATATTTTCATTATTGTCAATATGTCTGACCAACAAGAATTTACTGTTTCCTCTGAGCTCAAATCATGGTTCTTTTCTTCCATAGCGAAGTCTATGTCCAAAGCCATAGCAGCATTCCATATCCAATCCAATCCTGTTCCCAAACTACCTATCACCCAAAGTTTCTCAGACTCTGAGGATTCACATAATGGATCTGACCATGAAGGGGTTCCGCACAAGCGTCCCTGGAAGGGCAACAATGCCTCAGCTAGTAAAGGCAAGGCACTGGCTAAAAATCTGAGGTTGTCCCACACCTCCTCAAGCCAACAGATAATTGATCCCCATCAGACAATACAGCCCAATTCTGCAGAATGTGGCTCCACAAAACACTTGAAAAGGAGATTAGGCATAAGCTGAGAGCAGAATTTTCACATCCAACCTTGGAACTTAGGTTATACCCTCCCTATCACAGACAACTCTTTACAAACAGAGGATCGATCAAAAGACGTGGGTCTGCTTCACTCAGGGGTTTCTCTGCGGCAGGTAATCATCCTACCTTATTTTAATGCCTATTGCAGGCCGTCTTACCCATTTTTTCCACAGTGGTTTCTACTCACTCAGGATCCTTAGATCCTTCAAACTGTTTAGGGGTTTCACATAGATTTCATCTCAGACCCACTACAAGAGTTTCCTCCTCACCCTCTAAAGATGTCCCAATCGGACAGATATTTTACACTCAGAACTCTGCAATCTCCGAGACAAGAGTGCGATCGAACGTTCTCCATTCCCACCCAGGCTTCTCAGCAACATTTTTTCCTGGTCCGGAGGAAATCCAACAAACTTTGCCATATCATCAATTTAAGAAACTTAAATAGTATGTCATTTAAAAAATGGAAGGCATACCCATGCTTCGAGACCACCTCTGCGAAGGAGATTGGTCCTCCCACTTTGATTTAAGATATGCGTCCCTTACAGTACCGGTTGCTTCTTCTCATCGCCCCTTTCTACAATTCCTCTGGCAACAAGACAACTTGCAGTTCACTTGCATCCCTTTTGGTCTCTCTTCCACCCCTTGGTGTTTCACCAAGTTGATAAAACCAGTTATGGCTCTTCTCCGGTCCCAAGGTATCCGATCTATTGTCTATCTAGACGACATGCTAATCATGGCTTAAGATCTGTTCAACCTTCAAAAGCATACAGAGATGACCAAATCTCTCCTTCAGAATCTCGGATTTGTAATCAATTTTGAGAAATCTTCACTGATCCCATCTCAGACTATTGTTTTCAGATCAACTCGGTCCTTTCAATTCTTTAACTCCGGTCTTCAAAGATAAAATCCATCAAAAAGAATATTCGGAAATTGCTGTCCTCTCAACAGGTTTATCTTTGTGATTTAGCTCAAATCCTAGGACTACTTTCAGACTCCATTCAGGCAATTTCCACCAAGCTACACTACAGGGCAATGCAATGTCTCAAGACATATCTTCACAGATCCAGGTCATAAGACAAAAAAGGTTTCTTACCGACTAGGTCAGTCTAAAGTTAGACTGGTGGCTCCAGAACATGGAAGCTTGGAACGGGAAAACTATATTCGATTGCAAACCCAAATTTATCCTGGAGTCATACACCAGCCTCCTAGGTTGGAGGAGCAACCTGCTCCCACATCTCCGCGGGCAGACTCTGGACACAGTCGGAACGAACGTTGCATATCAATTGCCTCGGACTGATGGCCGACTCCTTTGCGATTCGCAGCTTCGCCAAGGAGGCCTACAACTGATCTTTGCTTCTCAGGATGTACAACGTTTCCGCTGTCCGTTATGTCAATCGTCTAGAGGGTTCTCGATCAAAACTCCTTTCAGACCTTACGCGAGAGCTTGATCAGTTCTGTCTGCACAGGAACCTCTCTCTTTGAGCAGAATACCTTCCAGGACCGTCACTGGCGAGATGCCAACAATTGGCGCCTAGATCTGTGCATTTTACATCATCTGCTTTGCAGGCCTCTCACTCTGGATCTATTGCTTCCAGACTGAATCGTCAGACCGACGCCCTTTTCAGTTGGTTACCAGATCCGATGTCTCAAGCCGTCGGCGCATTCCTACAACCATGGCCATCGACGGGGGCTTATGCCTTTCCGATCTCTCAAACTCATCGTCTCGGGGTTCTTGGAGTCAAGATCCTCTTAATAACTCCTCTCTGGAGGGTCCAGCCTTGGTATCCCAATCTCCTAGAAATGTCTGCAGATAACCCTCTGCTTCTCCTGGTATCTCACAATCTCCTCCAAGATTCTTCAGGGGACTTCCATTTTCTCGCCATCCAAGATAGTCTTTGACTCGTGACCTGGACTGTTTCAGTGTATCCTGGTATGTCTCAGAGCTTTCGGACTCTGCTTTAATACTCCTCTGGGTTTCAGAGGCCCCCAGAATTTGTAGAGCCTACCTTTCAGCATAATGTTTTCTGGGTTAGCTGGTGTTTGGAAAGGGATATGATCCCCTTTCAACTACTTTTTGTAAATATTATGAACTTCCTATCTTTTTTTTTTTTTGACAGAGAAGAGTTTTTCGTTCTGCTATTTTGGCCGCTCATCCCGATTGGCACGTTTCTGTTTGGGAAACATCCTTCTGTTTGCAGGTTGTTACGGGGAATTCGTCTTTCTCGACCCCTGGCTCCTCCATACATCAAATTCTTGGATGTTGTTCACGTTTTGTCATTCCTGGTAGCATCGCCTCCTAATTCTGAGCTTTCCTTGTGCCAACTCTCAGCCAAACTAGCCTTTATGCTTTAAGCATAAACCCCCAGAGGTTGTAAGTTTTTTCCATTGTTTGTCGCACAAAGGTTATTTCCACCTGTTTTTTAATCCTTACTTAGACGGGAGGCAAATATTTTCCCACCCATTAGCTTCTTTAAATCTTTCAATGCCCCACCCCTTTATTTCATCCACTTGGATACTTGAAAACGAGAGAAATCTCAATGTATCTTTCCTGGTAAAATATTTTATAAATAAATATTCAGGTAAGGTTTTAAATGCTTGCCTCCTATATTATTGGATCATGGTTTTATTGTAATGTGTTTAGATTACTCTAGTTTTCATAATATATATGTGCATTGCATAATTATTGACACATGACCTGTCACATTGTTTTTCTGTGTGACTGTCAGTCTACCAATTACACCATATTTTCACAAATTTTCTATACGTTCTAGGGTGAAGTTTCTTCTTGTCCTTCCCGGCATTCTCGAATCGTCTCTTCGTTGGACTCT